ACTTATCTCAAAAAACAAAAAAGTTAGAATAAAAAACATTAAACCCGAAGTTAGCAACAATGAAGTTAGCAATTTAATTTTTAAATATTAATACCAACCTTAATTTCTGATTTTTTTAATTATATTTTTGTGACAAATTTTAAAACATTTTATAAAAATTAAGAATATATCAAAATGACATTGACATTTCAAACCGGAAGTTGCTTATATCTCGAGTAATATTGGAATTAAACGTATCATGTTTGGGCTCATTTTAAAGGATTTTTCACGACGATTACAAATATGTCAAAATTGATGTTGACATTTCTAACCGGAAGTTGACCATAACTTCATTAATATTGAACATAAATATGTCGTGTTTGTACTCACTTTAAAGGATTTTTAATGAAGATTACAAATATGTCGAAATTGAAATTCGCTGAGACGGGTCTAAAGATTTACATTTTTTGCAATTGTTTAAAATAGATTTTAAATTTTTTTCGCCATTTTTAAACGAATAATGACGTCATCGATACTTTTTTCTGAATCTAGTACAGTCAATATTAATATTAGTTACATAAGAAAATTTTCGAGATAAATTATCTTAAAGTTTCATAATTTTCCGTTCATTTGAGATAGAAAAATAGAAGTAGCTATGCGTAACCATGGCAACCAATTGTTTCTGATATCAAAAATTAATCATTACCTTAATAAAATATCTAAAACAACTGGTTGCCATGGTTATGCATGGCTACTGCCATTTCTCAACCTCAAATGAATGGAAAATCATGAAACTTTAAGGTAATTTTTCTCGAAAATTTTCTTATGAAAAATAAAATCTTCTTGGAAAAAATAGCGATGATGTCATAATTAGTTTAAAAATGGCGGAAAAAAATTAAAAACTATACCACAAAATTGCAAAAAATTTAAATCCTTAAACCCGTCTCAGCGATTTTTCTATGAACCGTTTTTAATTGCTTTAACGAATTTATCCATTACTTTTGGGAAGCACTGTATAATAGATAAATGGACAACTTCATGATGTATTCTTTATTAAAGAACCTTTAAAATGTGTCCAAACATGATGCATTAATCTCAAAAAAACAAAAAAGAATAAAAAACAATAACCTTAAATGTTTTTAGTTCTAGGTCTAGTGTTAATTCTAGTTTTGCACTATCACTAGAACTAACTTTCATAATGTCAACATTAATTTTATTATTATATTCGTAATCTTTATAAAATAACCTTTAAAATGAGACCAAACATGACGCACTTATCTCAAAAAACGAAAAAGTTGGATCTTTCAACTTTAATTTTGACATACTTGTCAGCTTAATAAAAAAACTTTTAAAATGAGTCCAAACTCGACATATTTAACTTTAATATTAACTAAGATACAATCACTTCCGGTTTGAAACGTCAACGTCAATTTTGACATATTTATAATCTTCATTAAAAAACCTTTAAAATGAGTCCAAACATGACGCACTTCTCTCAAAAAACAAAAAAGTTAGAATAAAAAATGTTAAACCCGAAGTTGGCAACAATGAAGATAGCAATTTAATTTTTAAATATTAATACCAACCTTAATTTTTGATTTTTTTTTATTATATTTTTGTTTTTGTGACAAATATTAAGATATTTTATAAAAATTAAGAATATGTCAAAATGACATTGACATTTCAAACCGGAAGTTGCTTATATCTCGAGTAATATTGGAATTAAACGTATCATGTTTGGACTCATTTTAAAGGATTTTTCACGACGATTACAAATATGTCAAAATTGACGTTGACATTCTTAACCGGAAGTTGACCATAACTTCATTAATATTGAAGATAAATATGTCGTGTTTGTACTCATTTTAAAGGATTTTTATTGAAGATTAAAAATATGTCAAAATTAAGGTTGACATTTTAAACTTGAAGTTAGTTATCATATAATAGACAAATGGACAACTTCATGGTGTTCTTTCATGATGTATTTTTTATTAAAAACCTTTTAAAATGTGTCCAAATATGACGCACTTATCTCAAAAAACGAAAAAGTTGGAACTTTCAACTTTAATTTTGACATACTTGTCAGCTTAATAAAAAAACTTTTAAAATTACTCCAAACTCGACATATTTAACTTTAATATTAACGAAGATACAATCACTTCCGGTTTGAAACGTCAACGTCAATTTTGACATATTTGTAATCTTCATTAAAAAATATTTAAAATGAGCCTAAACATGACGCACTTATCTCAAAAAACAAAAAAGTTAGAATAAAAAATGTTAAACCCGAAGTTGGCAACAATGAAGATAGCAATTTAATTTTTAAATATTAATACCAACCTTAATTTTTGATTTTTTTTTATTATTTTTTTGTTTTTGTGACAAATTTTAAGACATTTTATAAAATTAAGAATATATCAAAATGACATTTCAAACCAGAAGTTGCTTATATCTCGAGTAATATTGGAATTAAAAGTATCATGTTTGGGCTCATTTTAAAGGATTTTTTACGACGATTACTAATATGTCAAAATTGAGGTTGACATTTCTAACCGGAAGTTGACCATAACTTCATTAATATTGAAAATAAATATGTCGTGTTTGTACTCATTTTAAAGGATTTTTAATGTAGATTATAAATATGTCAAAATTGAGGTTGACATTTCTAACCGGAAGTTCATAGTGTTCTTTCATGTGTATTCTTTATTAAAAAAACCTTTAAAATGTGTCCAAGAATGATGCATTTACTTCAAAAAACTATAAAAGGGAATAAAAAACATTAACTTTGAATGTTTTTAGTTCTAGGTCTAGTTTTGCACAATCACTAGAACTAACACAATGTAGTTCATTAAAGCGCCATCTATCGATTTACTCATAAATTTTATTTTTTTAATTTATTTTTAATATTATACTCTATTTTTTTATTCGGAAAATTAAAATAAACGCTTGTTAGCATAAAATATCATTATGTTGCACATTTTTATTGAACTAAAACTGGAACTAACACAAGACCTAGAACTAGAATCATTCGGATTTAGCCGTCTTGAAAGACGTGCGGCTAAACCCGAATGTTTCTAGTTCTAGGTCTAATGTTAGTTCTAATTTTAATTGTTGTTCAGCGTATTTGTTCCATTTATGTACTCAAAATAGAGTTATTAATTGTAAACACAGGTTTGTTTGTTAAAAGAAAAATATTTTTAGGTTAAGTTAAATTAAATGTCAAAAGACTAGAATGAAGTTGGTTTTGAAACTAACTAAAATAATAGAATGAAATTAGTTATGAAAATAACTAACTTCATTCTATTATTTGACAGAAAACATAACCTCAACAAAAAAAATTATTTAATTTAATTTTATCATTAGTTATAGTGGAAGTACAAGTGGAAAAACATCCCAATACTCAACACCGCCTTTATATTCACGAACCCCAAGCGCAAACGGCTGGGATAACACATTAACGTACCTCAATCAACAACAAAAATATTATCAATGCAGCAGCCTAGGAGATGACGGCCTCGTACCTTTAAGATCTGATTTACAAGATCGACTTTGGCAAATAATCGAGGAACATAGGGTTAATACCACTCGTTAATAAAAATAATTACTAAAAAATTAATTTTAATTTAACATCTAGATGAAAGAAGAAGAACTAAGGCGAGAATTACAAACGTATCGAAGAGCACTAATAAAACAAGTGTGTCATAAATGTAACCAAAACGACGCGGATAAAAACGACGAAACGGTGAGTTGTGCAAGTTAATTATTTGTTATTTATTGTCAACTTTTGTTTCTGTTACACCCCGAAATAAACCTATTTTATGTCAGTGTTAAAAATGTTTTATTCTGGTTAATATAAAATGATTTCTTTTTGTTTAACTTTTTTGTTTGGTTGGTCATAGTGGAGTGTTGAAAATGAAATGGAATCTAAAATGGAGCGCCGATTATTAACTCCGCGTCGATGTGAATCATCTCCGGATATTTTATTAAGTGGGAGGCGAGAAATGGTCAGTTCGGTTGTCTAAAACGTGTATTAAAAAAGTTTTTGAATAAAAATCGACACCAGGACATTTCGACCATTTTTACATTAAATTTGCATGATTTTTTTGTGTTTTTTTTGGTTTAGAATTAATTTTTCGTCGTGTAATTCGTTTTTAAATTTTAGAGTTCCGTGGTGGACTCGGTGTGTAGTACAGGGGAAGGCCCCACTTCCGCCGTTGAATCTCTACAATCGGATATGTCGTGGGAAGCCGTCGAGGAAGGGGCCGCTTTCGTCGAAAACGCCCCCCCTATATTATGGGTCCCCGATTACGCCGTCACCAGATGTACCGGATGCCAAGTTATTTTTTGGTTGGGGAGAAGAAAACATCATTGCAGGTAATTTTTACCCCAAATCCGATTTAGAATTAATTAATCGATTAAATTTAATTGCAGAAAATGTGGGAGAATATTTTGCGCGGATTGCTCAGAAAATAGCACACCTTTACCATCCGAAAATCTTTACGACCCAGTCCGCGTATGCACTTCCTGTTACTCGAAATTACGCAGAGATTGCACAGAAGTAATCCCAGATCAGTGCAAACAAAGAGCATCACAAGCGACGAATAATAATCCTCAAATAGCCGCATCAAGCAACTAAAAAATGTATCAGAAAGAAACGAACAAGCAAAAAGAAGTGATTGAAGTTGAATTTAAAATTAGAAAAATCCAATTTGGTTTAGAATTAACTAAAAAAAAATTTAATCCATCGCGATCTAGTCAATTACGAAAAAAAGGCTAAGAATGCGGCTAAAAAGAATTAAGAGGAGAGAGATAGAATGTTTTATGTGACACTGTGATGATTTTTTTCCTAAAAATTTTTTTAATGTCAAATTTGACGTGAAACGTCAAAAATTTTTTTTGTTGGGGTTATCTTGCTAACTTCATGTCTTATTTTAAAAAAATATATTTTTGTTGTAATTTTATTTAAAAAAAAAATCGATTTAATGAGATTAAAAGGTGACGAGTAAACAAATAGGTAGATAGAGAATGAGATTAAATTAATGGACAAAAAAATTAACTAAAAACGATTAAAATAACCAAAACCACCCAAAAGTACGTAAAAAAAACCTTTATCCGTTTATTTCGAGTCGATCTTTACTAATCGAGATAGTATTACTAAATAAAAAGAAGAAAATATGAACGAGAGAGAGGAGGAGGAGAAAAAAACATTATTTGTACACATTATTTGTAATATAAAAACATTATCCCGCGATATCTGTGTGATTATACGATAAAAATAATTAATATAAATTAAAATAGATGTAACGTTGGAAATAATATTGAATATTTATTGGTTCTATTCAAGTTTTATTTATTATAACCTCCAAATACATCCTCCCCCTAATTGACGTTTAAATCTTTGGTTATATAATTAATACCAACAGAAAATAATTCATTTAATTTTCCCCTAAACATTTGATTAAAATTTATAGTTGATTTAAAATTAATCGACTCACCCGATTTTTCGCTTCAATAATCAACAGCAATTTTCTTAAATCACTAAATTTAAAATTGACGTAAGATTTAGGTTATGTTTTTCGAAAAAACTTCACTGAATGATTCGGACCGAAAAATCACTTCGCGGAATCTAATATCACTTCAAATAGACAGTTTGGACGTTTAAAAACGTAAATCGATTAAGATTTCGGTCTAATTAACCTTTTTTTTCGTAAAATTTAACAAATTTAAGAAGAAACGCAACTGGTGGTTTTTAAATGTCAAATTGCGATTAATACGGATTATAACCGCTAGATGGGGGGAGTTGTTGTTTAAAAAAGAATTCTATTTTAAGACTAATTATAAATAAATCGCAAAATTAATTCGTTATTTAAAATTAATCGACTCACCTGGCTTTTCGTTTTAATAAACAACAGCAATTTTCTTAAACCACTAAATTTAAAATTGACGAAAGATTTAGGTTAAACTTTTCGAACAAACTTTACTAAATAATTTGGATGGAAAAAATCACTTCGCGGAAACTAATATCACTTCAAATAGACAGTTTGGACGTTTAAAAACGTAAATCGATTAAGATTTCGGTCTAATTAACCTTTTTTTTTCGTAAAATTTAACAAATAAAATAAGAAACGCAACTGGTGGTTTTTAAATGTCAAATTACGATTAATACGGATTATAACCGCTAGATGGGGGGAGTTGTTGTTTAAAAAAGAATTCTATTTTAAGACTAATTATAAATAAATCGCAAAATTAATTGGTTATTTAAAATTAATCGACTCACCTGGCTTCTCGTTTTAATAATCAACAGCAATTTTCTTAAATCACTAAATTTAAAATTGACGTAAGATTTAGGTTAAACTTTTCGAACAAACTTTACTGAAGAATTTGGATGGAAAAAATCACTTCGCGAAATCTAATATCACTTCAAATAGACAGTTTGGACGTTTAAAAACGTAAATCGATCAAGATTTCGGTTTAATTAACCTTTTTTTTTCGTAAAATTTGATAAAATTATGAAGAAACGCAACTGGTGGTTTTTAAATGTCAAATTGCGATTAATACGGATTACAACCGCTAGATGGGGGGAGTTGTTGTTTAAAAAAGAATTTATTTAAAAAATATTATAAATAATTTATATAAGCTAATAACGTATTTCGATGAAGATTTTCGTTCAATTAAATTATCAAATTCGTAAAATTGAATAAATTCGTGTTTTTTAAACTGTTGAATTTGCGATTAATTCGTGTTATAACCGCTAGATGGGGTTAGTAATATTATATTTAATTGAATTTAAAATTTTAAAACTAATTATAAATAAATCGCAAAATTAATTAGTTATTTAAAATTAATCGACTCACCTGGCTTTTCGTTTTAATAATCAACAGCAATTTTCTTAAATCACTAAATTTAAAATTGACGAAAGATTTAGGTTATACTTTTCGAACAAACTTTGCTGAATAATTTGGATGGAAAAAATAACTTCGCGAATTCTAATATCACGTTAAATAGACAGTTTGGACGTTTAAAAACGTATTTCGATTAACATTTCGGTCTAATTAACCTTTTTTTTCGTAAAATTTGATAAATTTAAGAGGAAACGCAACCGGTGGTTTCAAATGTCAAATTACGATTTAATACGGATTATAACCGCTAGATGGGGGGAGTTGTTATTTAAGGAAGAATTTATTTAAAAAATTATATTAAAAATGTTATAAATAAATAATTTATGATTTAATAACGTATTTCGATGAAGATTTTTGTTCAATTAAATCATTAAAATTAATAAATTTACGATGATTTTTATCTGTCAAATTTGCAGTAAATTTAGGTAATAACCGCTAGATGGGGGTAGTAGTAATTGTTTTAATTGAGTTACAATTTTAAGCAAAATTATAAATAAATCGCAGAATGAATTAGTGATTTAAAATTAATCAACTCACCTGGTTTCTCGTTTTAATGATTCACAGCAATTTTCTTAAATCACTAAATTTAAAATTGACGTAAGATTTAGGTTAAACTTTTCGAACAAACTTTACTGAATAATTTGGATGAAAAAAATCACTTCGCGGTATCTAATATCACTTTAAACAGATAGTTTGGATGTTTAAAAACGTATTTCGATGAACATTTCGGCTCAATTAATATGTTTTTATCGTAAAATTTGATAAATTATGTAAAAAACACAACTGGTTGTTTTGAAATGTCAAATTACTATTAATACGGGTTATAACCGCTAGATGGGGTTAGAAATTATTAAAATTTTAAGACAAATTAAAAATAAATAAATTATAGAATTATTGATTTCAAAATTAATCGACTTACGTGATTTCTTGTTTTAATAAATCACCCCAATTTTTTAAAATAACTAATTTTAAAAATTAATCAAATTACGATTTAATACGGATCATAACCACTAGATGGGGGGAGTTAGTTACATGTTATGGATAAAAAAATTCACTTCGTAGAACCCAAAATCGCCTTAAACGGATTGTTTGGATATTTAAAAACGTATTTCGATGAAGATTTCAATAAATTAAACGTAAAATTCGATAAATTTAGGTTAAATTGCTTTTAAATGTCAAATTTACGATAAACACGGATTATAACCGCTAGATGGAGGGAGCTAGGTTATGTTTCGTGTCAAAAAAATAATTTTGATGAATATTACTTTATATAAGATGTTAAAATAATTAAAAGAACGGATTTAGTTTAACAATCTTCTCGAAAAACAAATCTAATAATATCATCGGTTACCGGAAAGCGTTCGGTGAGATCACAACGAAAGTCATCGTCGTATTTTGCGTACCCGATTACGGCCCCAAACGCCAAGAGTAACACTCCAAGTGCTATCTTAAAAATGGGTAATTTCTTTGGGGGTAAAGGCGGACATTGCCTGCTTCTTTGACACACTGGTTTGCCATAATTTCGAAAATTTCTTAATTTTTTGTATGTTTTAGATGTTCTTCCCCCATTATTAAACCTCTGAAATTGAATGAAAAAAATAAATTAATGCGGAAATTAGGATTTGAATACTCACGTCTCGAATGAAGATTGTTGTTGTTGCGCTTATACTTCGGATCATTCCTATTTCGCGAAAATTGATTATAATAAGTTACATTTTATGATAAATTTGGAATTTATTGGGATTGAAAATTTTGACTTGAAGATGTCAAATTGAAATAAATAAAACAACTCTTTACATATCCACTTGCTTATATTTTACAGTAATTTATACAATTTATCTCATTAGATTCATCGAATCGGACGGCAAAAAACTGGATAAAACCACCGATTAAACAAACAACCCTCTTCGTCATCATTCAAAGAGGATTCATTTATTCGTTTAAGAAAAAAATTAAAAACTATAAATCCAGGGAAAATAACGCTACATATAATATCCAGTTTCGAGCAGTCTCACCACATCATCATAATTTTTTTTTATTATTTATTTTTATTCATTCATCATTTATACGTTTTTACGGAGGATGAGGGGGCGAAATATTTCAGATAAATAATAACCGCTTTTAAAATTTGTTTAAAATTAATATCATCATCATCATAATCGTCATCAATATCCGTTATAATACAAGAAGTTTTTTTTTTTAAGTCTCTCTATATCTTTATCTATACGAAGATGAACAAGAAGTATTTTAAGTCATTTTTTGTTTAAATAATAACATTTATGTGATGCGTATCGGGTAAAAATTTCAAAGCGGATTTAAATAAATTAAAAAAATTTTACTGGCAAACAAAAATTGGGTTCATTTAAGTTATTTTTTTTTGTTTTAAGTACATTAGCAGCCTTAAGGAACAAGTTTACTTAAACTTTATATAAAAAAAGATGTGAAAAAGAAAAATAAAAAAGAAGGGGGTAAAAATAACTGATTAATTAATTAATTAATTAAGGAAATAAGCAGCCTTTTTTATATATTGGAATGTATTGTTTAAAAAATGAAGGAAATTAAAAAAAAATTATTTTTTTTTTGATCATCACTGTACATAGCAACTTTTATTTTGTATATAAAGGTGATCAAAAGTTTTTGCACGAATCTAAGATAATTTATTAAAGCGTTTTTTTTTTAATATTAAAAAAAAATAAAATAAAAAATACTGAGCTGGAGTATAATAATACTGGTATTTAACGTTTTTCTTTTTTTTGTTCGAAATTATAATAAAAAAACAATGGCAAGTATGCGTTTTTTTTCTCGTTTCATTTTTTTTACGATATTTTTCTGTAATATATACAATAATCGTGTGTAAATAGGTTCATTTTTTTTTTATTTCTTACTCTATATGTTTTTGTTTTTTGTTATACAAAAAAAAAAGAAATAAAAATAATTAAGGTACAGTCTTCAGAAGATTTTTTTTTATCTCTCTTATTATCTTTAACAATTAAATTAATTTGTTCGAGATTTTTTTGTTAAATAAAAACAAAATGAGATTGAAAAGTAGGCGCGTTTGATAAAATAAAAACTTTAAGAGTGGATTATTTTTTAAGTTGGTACTAAATTAATGTCACATTTGACATTTAAACGTCACGTTCAATTCAGTAAATAAATTAATTTTTATCAAATTACCCAAAACGTCAAATTTGACATTAAACGTCATTTTGGTATGTGTTCACTGGGCACGTTCATTAATCGTTTGGAAACGTCCCAATAATTGTCATGGCAACGTAAACCAAAATCTTTTAATTATCATTTCAAATAGAAAAATTATTAAAAACTAAACGTAAATATTTCAGGTTTGAAAAGCAAAAATTTTATTTCAATTTTGACTCAAAATCGACTTTATTAATGTTAAATTTGATATTAAACGTCTGGGTACGTTCATTAATCATCATCATTTGAAAGCGTCCCGATATTTTGCGGTTTTTATCCTTTCACCAAATCGTCATGGCAACGTAAACTAAAACGTCAAAATCTGACATTTAATTTCACCTTTTAATTGTCATTTCAAATATAAAAATTAATTTATTGATTTATGTTTTAAAACGTAAAAATTTGAGGTTAAAAAAGCCATTTTAATGTTATAATCAAAAATTTGATTTCAACTTTGACTCAAAACCGATTTTATCAATGTTAAATTTGACATTGAACGTCTGGATACGTTCTTTAATCGCCAATATTAGGAAACGATCCGATATTTTAGCACCGTTTGCGATTACCGATTTTTAATTAAAATCTGACATTTAATGTTCAAATTTAATTGTCATTTTAATGTTAAAAAAGTCATTATAACGTTATAATAAAAAATTTCTCAGAATCGACATTATGAATGTTAAATTTGACATTGAACGTCTGGATACGTTCTTTAATCGCCAATATTAGGAAACGATCCGATATTTTAGCACCGTTTCCGATTACCGATGTTTAATTAAAATCTGACATTTAATGTTCAAATTTAATTGTCATTTTAATGTTAAAAAAGTCATTATAACGTTATAATCAAAAATTTCTCAGAATCGACATTATGAATGTTAAATTTGACATTTAATCTATCATTTGAACTTAATAATTTCACAAAAAGAAAAATAATTTGCAAGTTGGGCACTTACCTTAAATTTCTTTGCCCAAAATTCTTCATTATTTCAATTAAATCCAATTTTGATATAAAAATGTCATTTTCTTATAAAAATTTGATGTCAAAAGTGACACTCAATTTACTACACGTTAAATATAAATAAATTAATTCTTGAGTTTTCAATAACAATAACTTCTCACTAAAAATAGAAATTAAATATTAAAATTCTTGATGTTATAAACCACAAGTAAAAGATGTACTAAAATTGTTGACGTTTAAACGTCAAGTTAAAAAATCGAAGTGGTGCCAACTTAAATTTTTTTAAAAAAGAAAATCCCTTCTCTTTTAATTTTTTTGGTATCAAACGCGGAAAATAAATTAAAAAAATTGAGCAAAAAGATAAATATAAAAAGAGAAACAGTAAAGAAAGAATAGTAAAGATTCCTTTTCTTTCGTTTGCTTTTAGTAGAGGACGGTAAATTCACTATACATACTTGGTAGAGGTTAATCAATAAACTCTATTCAGTCGAACGAACGAAAAAAAAAAAATAAAATAAAAAGAAGATTAAGATTAAAACCAAAATAAAATTTCTCCCACTTATTCTCATATATACCAAAATTCATAGCTTTTTCGTAAGCATTTTTTTCGTAACTCTTAAAACTCTTCTTCTTATTCATTGTTTTAAAATCTTATTTTCGAATATTATACTAAAACCTTACACTTTAAAACTTATCCTATTAATATATACAGTGTAAATATACAAATCTTTCACTATTTAATTTTTTCTCGATCAATCTTTCATTTTCACTTTTTTTCCCTCATTAATTCTTTTACACTAACAATTTATTAATAACTTTTTTTTAAATTTTTTTCAGGTTATGTCGAAACGTCATCGACACAAACATAACCTTAAAGTCCATTTTTTTTTCTTTATAATTAAAGAAAAAAATCTTTTTCGATCTCAATTTAAAAGATCATCTTACTTTTTTAAGCTCTTTTATGGCAAATTATTTATTTTGAGCACAAAAATCGTAAAAACACCCCGTTTTAACCACTTTTAATTTTTTTCGATAATCGAGGAAAATCTAACCTCACTTTTTTAATTTTTATAATTTCTTTCTTTTTTAGGTCTTAATTTTATTTTATTTAAACCATAACTTGCCCATCATAAAAAATTAAAGGCTAATCATCACTATAATGACCACCAATATCATTATTATGTTGCTTTTTTTGTCGTTTCGATGACATTTTTTCACCGTGTATTTGTTGCCCCTCGATTTCTTGCATTAATCGAAACCTTACAAAACCTTGATCCGTTTCTAACATTGATTCAACACCTTGTTGATAATTAATTTGATTTTGCACATTTTGATGCATATTTTGAATCACATTTTGATGAATCCTAACATCGTGATTAGGTAAAGTTTGAACTCCTAAATGAGGTCTTGGGTGTTGATTTTTCCTCGATCTCCCTGTGGTGGATCTCCTCCCTGAAGTATTCGACGAATTTCTCGATCTCCGATCAAAATCGTTTCTTTCGAATTCATGCCTAGTTCTTTCGTATTGATTCGCGTGATCTAAAGGTTCCGAATAAACGTTACTTTCGTTCGTGAAAACGTCCCTTTGGTAGTCGTCGTTGTTGTATTCGACGTCGTATTTGGGTTTTGTGTAATATTTTGCGTCGTAGGATGGTTTTCTTGAGGAGTTTCGATCCGATCGGGATGAATTTCGCTCGAACCCACCGGGGGTTAATTCGGGATTGAGGTTGTTTCGATTTTCGAATCGATCGGAGCCCCATTTGGGGCGCTCGAATCGCTCGAAACGTTGAGGTTGGGTTTGATTTTCATTGTGGTCGTCGCTTCGGTGTCTTTCGAGGGTCGATTTTTTATCGAATGAGTCGTTTTGGAACGTGTTTTTCAGCAAATTGGGTCTCTCTATCGTTTGATCTTGATTTGGTAAGTTATCCAAAATCATTTCGTTTCGGCTATAATTAGTGACGTTTGGGTTTGTGTTGCAATTATTAGGATACATGTTATCGGAGCTCGATTCGCTCGTCGCGCAAGGAAATAACGGAAATGAGGTTGTTTGCTTTTCCCGCGGGGACATTTTCAAACTTACAACGGTCGCGAGGAGGGACACAATCGAAATTTCTAAAAACCTAACCAATAATTCATAACCCCAAAGCAGCCAGTGGTGGTTTTCGGAACTAAATCGGTCGATTTTGATAATAAAGAGCGCGTACAAATGCACGCCACCTAGTAGTATAAAAAGTAAAGCGACCGCGATTGTAACGTGGGATGCATAACTTATGTTTTGGGTGCAAATTTCGGATAAATTTTGGCTCTTTTTCGCCAAAACGTTCTTTATGATCCGATATAAATACAAATAACTCACCCCCAAAGACAACGAGAGCAACACAAAAACCGGCTTACACACGATCAAACTCGCCTTTTCGAAATGCCCCAGCGTTTCAGATATGCTCAAACAAAAACACAAAAATATGTGGATTACTCCAAAAATCACCAAAAAAACCGGCTTTGCTTTGACCTTTAAATGCGTTAGCGTCCGTTTTAACAAAAATAGAATTAAAACCGCGAATGTGGTCGCTAACAGACTTAAAGGAAAGTTGTGGAAAAAATCATACAAGAATATATTCAACGACCTGTTGATATTATAAGGATCATACATTAAATAAAAAATTCTAAGCAAGCAAATAACCGTCAGCATTAAATGAATCGTTAAAAACGAGCTTTTCGAAAACATATGAGGCGTCGTTTCATACCTAATCAATTTATAAATCGAGTACAAAGCCAAAATAACAAAACCCAAAACGACCAAATAAACATGGACGTTCCAACAAATCAACCAAATCTCATCCGTACTCTTCGTTTTATTCCCATTCTCAACATTTTTCAAATTAAACTCGCTACTTTGCGTGGTCATCTCATTAACTTTATTATTATTATTGATTAAAGTCTCCTTTTTAATCGTAACACTCTCCAAACGCTCCTCTTGATTATTCTTATTATTACTTTCCTTATTATTGCTATTATTAACAACATCAATCTCTTCCTTTTTAACTTTAACATCTTTCTCGGTGTTATCTTTAACGTTCGGGTTAAAATTGGAATTTCTCTGAGTTTTTTGTTCATTCTTTTGGGTTAAATTTGGAGTCGCAGTGACGGATTTTAATAAGATATCGGAAATATCGTCGTGACGGCCGTTTGAGCCGCTCAAAATCCTCGTTATGCTCGGAATGTACCCCTTTTCGTACTCAAAACTGCTCTCGTTGACTCGTTGTCCGCCGTAAAATTCGCCTAGGCGGTCTAAATTTACGTTCGAGGGGGTGTTTAACGTTTTCTTTCTTTCGTTTTCGCTCGAAATGTTGATGTTGGGGTTGAAATTGTTGTTTGGACGCTCGGGGACTTTTTCTATATTAACTTTATTTGGGATATCGGGTCTGAATGGTATCCGATCTTTATTGGGCATCAACGACGGTGGTGGAATTGGTCTCCTATTTCCAAATCCATCGGAATTAGTTCCGCGGAGCGTTGGTTTATCAGCGAAAGGATTTAAATATTCCGGTGGGAGTGGTGGTGTGAAAAAAGCGCGACTTGGAGGGACGTAACTTGGTACATCCTTGCTATAAATCGATTTTGTTGGTCGAACATTCCTCAGCGGATTATAACCGGTGGTTGTTTTGAAGGGATTCTCAGTTTGGTGGTCGTTATAATTCGGTTTCAACCTATCGTTGTTGTAGCGATTTGGGTTCTCGTAATTCTTGTTGTTATTATTTTTTAAAATATCCGCCGCTGGGGCTGTTGTTGGTAAAACATGATCCTTTTCTAAGTTAGCTCCATATCCTGGATTATCAAAATCTCGAATTCCATCCTCATTAGATTCGTATTCGAACTCATTTTCGGGTTGCTTCTTAATATCGACTCGATAAAACTCCTCAGAACCATCTGAATATCGATAAGTGGTTAAAAGGGGTGTTGCTAAAGTGGTAATTGGATAAGCCGTATCCGGTATGGAACGCTTCGTGGTACTCCCATATGCGACTTTATTAAAAACGGCGGCTATGCTTTGTTCCAAATTGATTTTGTCGAGGAATTGTTCGGTTTTTTCGAATTCATTGCTAAATCCATGACTTTTTCCTATTACTATTGTTAATAATAATAGGAATAACCATTTTTTATAACAACTTTTTGCTCCTTTAATGTTTAAAATACAAATAAAATATGATAGGCACGCGTTTAAAATTAATAAATAAATCGAACTATAATAATAATAATAATAATTAAAGTTTTTATCACCGTTTTTACGAGTATTAGTTGTTTTTAAATTACTTGTGACACTTTTCTGAATCCTTTTTCGGTAAACATCATCATCATCATCACAGATTTTCATCGAGTTTCCTCTTCGATCTATCGATCTTGAAAAACAACAAGTTGAAGATAAATTTAAATGAACGTTGTCGGTTCGTTGGATTTCAACGAGGGTTTTATCAAATTTTTCCGGTGTTGTTGACGTCGTCGCTCGTTGAGAACCGGGAGGAGGACGGTCGTTTTGTAGAAACATTTTATTTTGTCGCGAAGAAAACATCCTGGTTATTAAATTATAATGAATCGGATGTCTTCGACATGGCTCTTGAGATGTTGATTAGATGATCTAAAAAAGAAATTAAATAACATTAGTTTTAATCGAATTCTTAAACACTTCATAAAATTCAATTGACAGTTCGGCTGTCAAATTTCATTATGGTTTTGTGACTAATTTCATATCTATAAATTTAATTAAGTATCAAAAAAAACGTTATTAAATTTGATGTTTTATATGTTAAATTAATATTTAACAATTTTTTGTCCCCAATTAGAAGAAAATTGATAATTAATTTATCCAATTCCATGTTTATTAATATTTCAAAATTGACGCTTTATCCAACTTCATACTTAAGTAAAATTTCCCTAGTTTAATTAAAAAAAAATCTAATTTAATACTTTTTCGTTGAATTATTCAATTTAAACCGACTTTTTTATCAAATTTGATTTATAATAATCAAATTTCGTTTAAATTAAATTTGTTATTTTATCTATTAAGTATTTTATAAAAATTTCGTTTGACATTTCATCTGTCGACTTGTAAGAAAATTGACATTTGTCGTTTAATTTGGTTGTCAAATTTCGTTATGGTTTTATGACTAATTTCATATCTACAAATTTAATTAAATATCAAAAAAATGTTATTAAATTTAATGTTTTATATGTTAAATCAATATTTAACAATTTTTTATCTCCAATTAGAAGAAAATTGATAATTAATTTATCCAATTCCATGTTTACTAATATTTCAAAATTGACGCTTTATCCAACTTCATACTTAAGTAAAATTTCCCTAGTTTAATTTAAAAAAAATCTAATTTAATACTTTTTTGTTGAATTATTCAATTTAAACTGACATTTATGTCAAATTTGATACATAATAATCAAATTTCGTTTAAATTCAATTTGTTATTTTATCTATTAAATTTTATAAAAATTTCGTTTGACATTTGATCTGTCAACTTGTAGGGAAATCGACATTTGTCGTTTTGTTTGATAATTTAACCATAGAAAATATTTAATACTGATAATATACAGTAAAAAAATATAATATTGAATATAGTATAATTAATATAGTATTGATGTTGAGTAAGATCACATTTAATAAATTAAACTAGTAAGTAGAGGTAAGGTTAGGTTTCATTAATAAACCTCTGTAAAAACTGTTTTGTCTCGAATAAGCCGAGGTCGCTTGCGGCCGAGGCGCTACATCAATACCATATCGACACAATAACTAATCCCCTTACAACAATATTAAAAGTAATTAAGCCGAGGTCGCTTGCGGCCGAGGCTCTATTTCTATACTTTATCGATACAACAACTAATTCCTTTACAACGATATTAAGAGTAATTAAACCTAGGTTGCTTGTGGGCGAGGCTCTATATCTATACCATATTAATACAAAAATTCACCGGTTTATAACGATATCAAGAGTGAGTGAGCAGAGGTCACTTGCGGCCGAGGCGCTAGAATTAATACTATATCAACTTAAAACTGGTGTCAAATAAGGTTCTGCCTCGCCCGCAAGCGACCTCGGCCGAGTAAAGTGAAATATGTACAGGGTGGTTCAAATTCGATGTCCGAATAGGCTATCTCGGAAACTATAAGAGTTAGAAAAAAAGTTATTAATATAGGTGGAGTATTATAATTAAGACATTATATGGACACTTTTTTATAGAGAATTTGATGTCGTAGTCAAAAAAATTTTTTCGGTTTTAGATTTTGAGGTATTATGACAATTTTCGTTTTTTTAAATGGAACAACCACTGATTACTCGCTTATTGAATTCGTTATTTTTTTCTGATTACAAAAATATGGGGTTAGATAGGTCTATTTCTTATTGTTTTCGAATCAAGTTAAAAATAAACTTTTTTTTAGTGTCGTCAAAGAAATTAAATTTACAGTTTCCTGTAAATTACAGTATTATGACTATAAATTATTTTACTAAAAATTTATATAGAATTTATTTTATTTTCTAATATGTAACATTCCAACATGTTAAACTTTTCGTAATCCATCTTAAAAAACAGGATTTTTAATTTGACACTTCAGAAAATTGTTGAATACAAACAAATGTTGAGCAAAAAAATATGAGCGCCATCTATCAATGATTTATTAAGTCATTTAATAATAATATTAAATATTAATAAAAAATGTGAAAATATGTCATTTAATAATAATATTAAATATTAATAAAAAATGTGAAATAATGCAATCTATTCCAACTTTTGTGTAAAACAAATATAGATTAAATAGTTCAACAAATGTATATGTTTCAAATATCAGAAATATGGTTTTTTAATTTTTAGTTATAATTTACAGGAAACTGTAAATTTAATTTCTTTGACACTAAAAAAAAGTTTATTTTTAGCTTTATTCTAAAACAATAAGAAATAGACCAATCTACCCCCATATTTTTGTAATCAGAAAAAAATAACGAATTTAATAAGCGAATAATCAGTGGTTGTTTCCATTTAAAAAATCGAAAATTGTCATATTTCAAAATCTAAAAAAGAAAATTTTTCTTTGACTACGTCATCAAATTCTCCGTAGAAAAGTGTCCATATAATGTCTTAGTTATAATACTCCACCTATAATAATAACCAAGATAATTGCACTTACTGGTTTTACGATATTTTCAACTTTGTCCTCTAGGGGAAAAACAAAAGACGATAGCGCTTTGAGGTTTTTGGCATTAACAGTTTCTCGAAAAACGAGATCATGACATGTAAGCTACTTTTTTCCTAACTCTTATGGTTTCCGAGATATGGACATCGGATTTGAACCATCTGTACATGATTGTTCGCTTAAGCCGAGGTCGCTTGCGGCCGAGGCATTGGAGCATATAATATCTAATATGGTATCAATTGTAGTACTTTAGCCGTAAGCAACCTCTACTAAGGATGGAAAGTACAGTATCATCTTATTAAGCCGAGGTCACTTGCGGTCGAGACGCTACAATTAATACCATATCAACACAAAACTGTTGTCAAATAAGGTTCTGCCTCGGCTTTATTACTCCTGATATCGTTAACAAACGGTTGGCTTCTGTGTGTGATATGGTATCAATGTTATGCCTCGCCCGCAAGCGACCTCGGCTTTATTACTATTGATACTGTTGTAAAGTGGTTAGTTTTGTATGCAACATGGCATCAATGTAGTGCCTCAGCCGCAAGCGACTTCGGCTTTATTACTCCTGATATCGTTAACAAACGGTTGGCTTCTGTGTACGATGTGGTAACAATGTTATGCCTCGGCCGCAAGCGACCTCGGCTTTATTACTACTGATATCGTTAACAAACGGTTGGCTTCTGTGTACGATGTGGCAACAATGTTATGCCTCGGCCGCAAGCGACCTCGGCTTTATTACTACTGATATCGTTAACAAACGGTTGGCTTCTGTGTACGATGTGGCAACAATGTTATGCCTCGGCCGCAAGCGACCTCGGCTTTATTACTACTGATATCGTTAACAAACGGTTGGCTTCTGTGTACGATGTGGCAACAATGTTATGCCTCGGCCGCAAGCGACCTCGGCTTCATTACTCTTAATACCGTTGATAACAGATTGGTTTTATGTACGTTGTGGTATCAATGTAGTGCCTCGGCCGCAAGCGGCCTCGGCTTTATTACTCTTAATACCGGTGATAATCTAAAGACACTTTTTTTTCAGCCGTAAACAACCTCACCTCAATTTAGGATAAAGATTGTATGATTTCATCTAAAAAATGCGACCTAAATTGAAAAAATTAAAAAAAATCTAACCCAACCTAAAAATGTCATTTCTTGACAGTTCATTAAATCGTCATGGCAACCATAATCAAACTTTTTATGGTTATGTCAACTTTGACATTTATCAAAGTAAAAAAAACCTTCAGAATTAAAATAAAGATGCATATTTCATAACACGGTTTCATTAAATTCTTCGTCTTTAAAAAATTTAAAAAAATAACTCACCTCGTAAATGTCAAATATAATTTGAAACGGCTCAAAAAAAATTAATTCACTCCGATACGATTTCACATACGATTTAAATTTTCCCTATTAATTTAGATTAAACATCCGGATATCGGTTATCAATAATCAAATTGATATTCTGAATCATTTAAATTATAGATAAAAACAATTTACCTCGTTTTTATCTACACTTTCCTTTTTCTTTTTTTTTAGCATGATCATTTATGTCTGTTTTAAGGTATAATTACACATTTTAAAATCGTCGGCACGTTTTCTTCGGAAATAATGAATAATTACCTCAAGTAATGAGGTCGGCTGGTTTTTCAAAATACTACTTTGAACGGCACTCATTAAATTTTTTTTTGTAACAAAAAATAAATAAGAACGGGAAGAGAAAACGTGAATTACCCGAGTTTGTTATAATTACATCTTCATGTCTTTAGTTCTAACATGAATCGTTTTTCCAAGAAATATGTTTGACAACATTAAAAGTGAGGTTAAATTTTTTTTTTTCGATTAAGTCACTTTCTCTTTATGCTGAATATCACATGATGATGAGATGAGCTACAAAATACTTTTAAGAAATAAATAATTAAGTTAATTAATTAAGTTTTGTAAAAAAATATGACTGAGTAAACCTAACCTATTTTTGTAATCGTTTTAAAAAGATTGTTTGTTATTTTCAACTTATTTTTAATCTTAAACCATTTTTAAGAATGTTGTAACAATTTTAAAGTAAAATCTGTTTTAAACGTCAATTTTGACATGTTTATTCAAACGTGGTTAAATGACAACTAACATGACAAATACATTGGTTGCTAATGGCAACGAAATTCGTTACCAACCTAAATAAANCATGACAAATACATTGGTTGCTAATGGCAACGAAATTCGTTACCAACCTAAATAAACGTAACTTTTTGCACTTAATTAAACAAAAAAATTTAAAAATTAATACAAAAAATGTTTTAATTTTTGAACACATTTAATTCTTTAAATTTTATTGATTAAATGAATTCTATTAATTAAAAAAATTTATAAAACGTGAAATGTCAAATTAACGTTTGAATGAATTTTTATGTCAAATTTAATTACCATCAAAAAATTATAAATAATATAATTATTTAAAGTATTGCAACGCCTTGTATATGTTTTAAACGTATCGTTTCTTTTTAAAATACGATTTTTTGTTATATTTTTCTTGAATCTTTAGAAACGTAATGTGAAGAAAAGTGAGGTTAGATTTTTTTTTTCAACGATTAAGACACTTTCTCTTTATGTTGAATATCACATGATGATGAGATGAGCTACAAAATACGTTTGGGATATAAATAATTAAGTTAATTAATTAAGTTTTGTGAAAAAATGTGACTGAGTAAACCTAACCTATTTTTGTAATCGTTTTAAAAAGATTGTTTGTTATTTTCAAATTATTTTTAAACTTCCTTTTAACCTTTTTTAAGAATGTTGTAACAATTTTAAACTAAAATCTGTTTTAAACGTCAATTTTGACATGTTCATTCAATCGCGGTTAAATGACAACTAACATGACAAATACATTCGTTGCTAATGGCAACGAAATTCGATACCAACCTAAATAAATGTAACTTTTGCACTTAATTAAACAAAAAATTTTAAAAATTAATACCAAAAATGTTTTAATTTTTGAACACATTTAATTCTTTAAATTTTATTGATTAATTGAATAATTCTATTAATTAAAAAAATTTATAAAACGTGAAATGTCAAATTGACGTTTGAATGGATTTTTATGTCAAATTTAATTACCATCAAAAAATTATAAATAATATAATTATTTAAAGTATTGCAACGCCTTGTATATGTTTTAAACGTATCGTTTCTTTTTAAAATACGATTTTTTGTTATATTTTTCTTGAATCTTTAGAAACGTAATGTGAAGAAAAGTGAGGTTAGATTTTTTTTTTCAACGATTAAGACACTTTCTCTTTATGTTGAATATCACATGATGATGAGATGAGCTACAAAATACGTTTGGGATATAAATAATTAAGTTAATTAATTAAGTTTTGTGAAAAAATGTGACTGAGTAAACCTAACCTATTTTTGTAATCGTTTTAAAAAGATTGTTTGTTATTTTCAAATTATTTTTAAACTTCCTTTTAACCTTTTTTAAGAATGTTGTAACAATTTTAAACTAAAATCTGTTTTAAACGTCAATTTTGACATGTTCATTCAATCGCGGTTAAATGACAACTAACATGACAAATACATTCGTTGCTAATGGCAACGAAATTCGATACCAACCTAAATAAATGTAACTTTTGCACTTAATTAAACAAAAAATTTTAAAAATTAATACCAAAAATGTTTTAATTTTTGAACACATTTAATTCTTTAAATTTTATTGATTAATTGAATAATTCTATTAATTAAAAAAATTTATAAAACGTGAAATGTCAAATTGACGTTTGAATGGATTTTTATGTCAAATTTAATTACCATCAAAAAATTATAAATAATATAATTATTTAAAGTATTGCAACGCCTTCTATATGTTTTAAACGTATCGTTTCTTTTTAAACTACGATTTTTTGTTACATTTTTCTTGAATCTTTAGAAACGTAATGTAAAGAAAAGTGAGGTTAGATTTTTTTTTCAATGATTAAGACACTTTCTCTTTATGTTGAGTATCACATGATGATGAGATGAGCTACAAAATACGTTTAAGAAATAAATAATTAAGTTAATTAATTAAGTTTTGTAAAAAAATGTGACTGAGTAAACCTAACCTATATTTGTAATCGTTTTAAAAAGATTGTTTGTTATTTTCAACTTATTTTTAAACTTCCTTTTAATCTTAAACCTTTTTTAAGATTGTTGTAACAATTTTAAACTAAAATCTGTTTTAAACGTCAATTTTGACATGTTTATTCAAACGTGGTTAAATGACAACTAACATGACAAATACATTCGTTGCTAATGGCAACGAAATTCGTTACCAACCTAAATAAAAGTAACTTTTTGCACTTAATTAAACAAAAATTTTAAAAATTAATACAAAAAATGTTTTAATTTTTGAACACATTCTCTTTAAATTTTATTGATTAATTGAATTCTATTAAATAAAAAAATTTATAAATGTCAAATTGACGTTTGAATGGATTTTTATGTCAAATTTAATTACTATAAAATATTATAAATAATATAATTATTTAAAGTATTGCAACGCCCTGTATATGTTTAAAACGTACCGTTTCTTTTTAAACTACGATTTTTTGTTATATTTTTCTTGAATCTTTAGAAATGTAATGTGAAGAAAAGTGAGGTTAGATTTTTTTTCACCAATTAAGACACTTTCTCTTTATACTGAATATCACATGATGATGAGATGAGCTACAAAATATGTTTAAGAAATAAATAATTAAGTTAATTAATAAAGTTTTGTAAAAAAATGTTTTATAAATTTTGATTTAGTTGCTTAGTAACGCTTTTTAATACAAACAAATGTGACTGAGTAAACCTAACCTATTTTTGTAATCGTTTTAAAAAGAGTTGTTTATAAATCAATAATTTTTTATATTTCTAATAAAAATTTTTTCAATAAATCAAAACCCAGCGGACCAAACTAAATACTGTAAACATTCCCGGTGAGCGAGATACGCCCAAGAAAGGGATGTCCTACATAAATCCTAAAAACGAACGCAGTACAACGAACCGAAAACTAAAATCATAAAACCCACCTTTTTCTTTTTCGTTCACTTCTTCTCGTCTTAAATAAACCGCATGAGATGAATCCCAAAAAAAAAATTTTCCGTTTTTCCCAAAAATAAAAATTGAGATTCTTTTTCCGCCAACCAACAACCTGTTCTTCTTTTTTAAAAAAATATCCTTTTTGCGGTTGTACGTAGAGAAATTTGGTTCTCCCTGTATATAGTTAAAAACGTCTCTTCTGGTATCTCTCCGCGGTCGTCGACCAAATACACTCCGTACAAAACACACAAAGAAACACTTCTACATTTTTTTTTCCACGTTCTATTAAAACGTTTCTTTCGATGGGTAAACGTCGGGCCGCCGTTCACGAGCACGACGCCCCGATAAGTTTTTCGCGCATTCACACACAATTTTCGCCCGGGTAAACGACGATTTTCACGAAAACGAAAAATAACACGGCCTTCAAGAACCGATCGACGACGCCATTTTGTATATATTTTCCGAACGCCCGTTGCCAACTTAAAAAATGTCACCAGGATTTGGATACCATCCAAAATTAAGCGCGGGAAATTCGATTAGCTTCAAAAAAATAAAAAAATTATAATTTCGTTTTAGTATCGATTAGTAAATGTAAAACGAAAAGGAACTTGTTATTATTAAATTAAAGAGGTGATTGGGTTGTTTACGATGTTTTCGTAGAGTTTTATGGGGCGCCCAAGTTATTTTTTTCATTTCTTTTTTTGGTTAATTGGATTCCCTCAAAAATTGAGAAAGAAATTTGAAAGTACATAATTTAATTTTTTGTTGTCAAGTAAACATCTGCTTTTTTCATGCTTTTTTAATCCTTTTCATTACATAACCTAAAATAAATTAAAACTCGAAATAATTAATTTAAAATCGCGATTTCGAATAAATAAAGTTAATTAAGAAAAAAAAATGACTTTTTAATTGATTTAAACACCAACAGATGTTTCAACATTATTTTTTTAAAAAATGTATTGGTGTGATTTGGGTTGCATAACAAATAAAAATGAATTGTATTTTAAATCATCTTTATTGTATTTTGAGATAGTTCCTTTTTCATCATCATATCATTATTATTATTACTATTAATTAGATTATTTTAGAAAACGCTTCCTCATTCTTTAACAACGAAAAAAAATGTTTCTATCACAAAAAATGGGGGCGCCGTCGGCTCCTTAATTTATTTCTCATTTATTTACAAACTAACAATAATAATAATAATACTCCACAATTTACAAACGATTAATAATAAAATAATACTAAGTAATGATAATTAATTAGAATTATTTTATAATAAAAGGATCTTTTTTGAAGATTTAAAACTTTCTGAGGGGGTTTTTATTGATTTATTTCCTTTTTCGTTTATTTTCTACACGAATCTTTGTTTTAATATAATTCTTTAATATTCTTATAACGTATTTTATATTTTAATCTCGCACAACCGTTTTTTCGAGCATTTTCTGATTTCTTTTTTTAGATTCTTAATGTACCTTTTTGTTTTTGTCTTAATATTTATTTATAATAATATACAATACAGGTTTTACACTATGTACAATTATTTATTTTTGTTATTGTATAAGAAAAAAAGTTTTTTAGGATTTTTTTTAATCAAAAAAAAGTTTTTTTTGTTCTAATTTATTGCTTTATCTTTAATTTAAGTAATTTTGGCCGATTCATTATTTTTTTTTTAATTAAAAGAAGAAAAAAGAATAATTCTTAACATCTATTCATAAATAAATAACTATTTATATTTGAATATACAGTTGTTTCTTATTTTTCTTAGATATTTATCGTTAAAAATTATAATCTAACCTAGATATAAACCTATTTTCATTTTTTATACTTTAATTTATAATTTATATTATTTATAATATGTATAATAACAGATTATTTATATTTTTCTCCTTATTTGCTTATTTATAACTACACATACCATATTATATATATAATCTATGTTTATATATACAGGGCGTAACAATTATTTATAGTTTTATTTAAAATAAATCTTTTAAACAAATTCTTTTGCATTAATTCGTTGACATTTCCAAGAAATTAATTTATTTGTACCATTTTTAGACTACGTTGCTATGGCAACCCACAAATATAATTTTAATAAACCTCAATAGATGGCGATATGACTCAATTTTAATTAAATAAATAATTTTAAAGTAATTACCTTTTCGTTATTTTCAAATTCAATTTGTTTTTAAACTTCCCCTTCATCTTAAAATTTTTTTAAGAATGTTGTAACAATTTCAAATAGCTTTATGTTTCGATTTAAAATCTTTTTTAAACGTCAAATTTGACATGTTCATTTAAACGAGGTTAAATGACAACTAACTTGGCAAGAAGTTAAGTTAGCTAGGCGAAAATTCATTACCAACCTAAATAAATCTAATTTTTTGTGATTAAATAAATATTTTTAAAAATTAATACAAAAAAATGTTAAAATTGTTTTAATTTTTGAATACGTTTAATTCTCAACATTTTAATAATAATTGATTTATTAATTGAATTCTTAAAAAAAAAAATTATTTATAAAACATGAAATGTCAAATTGACGTTTAAATCAATTTTTATTTATTAAATTAACCAAAACCCAAATTTCTTCCAATTTCTTGTACCAAAATGAATCATTTATCAAATTATAACGCAAAGATACCACTTTTTAACAAAATAAAGACATTATTAAGGAAAAAGGGGGTCATTTAGCCGACCTTGTAAATAAAAATGAATTAAAATTTTAACTTACATTATTTTGATGATTTTGATTTCGTTATTTTCAAATTATTTTTAAACTTCCCCTTAATCTTAAACCTTTCTTAAGAATGTTGTAACAATTTTAAACTAAAATCTGTTTTAAACGACATGTTCATTCAAACGAGGTTAAATGACAACTAACATGGCAACGAAGTTAGTTAGATGAAAATTCATTACCAACCTAAATTAATGTAATTTTTTGCACTTAATTAAATAAACATTTTTAATTATTACAAAAATGTGAACACATCTAATTCTTTAAATTTTATTAATTGAATTCTATTAATTAAAAAAAATTAATAAAACGTGAAATGTCAAATTGACGTTTGAATTAATTTTTATGTCAAATTTAATTACCATCAAAAAATTAATAATTTAATTATTTAAAGTATTGCAACGCCCTGTATATGTCTAAAACGTACCGTTTCTTTTTAAACTACGATTTTTTGTTATATTTTCTCGTATCTTTGGAACGTAACGTGAATAAAAATAAATTTACTTTTACGTCATGAAAAGGAACAAATTTAAAAAAAAAATTATAACGAAATAAATAAATAGAAGAAAATCATTCGGAGAAGAAAATAAAAATTTATATTGTATCAATTTTTTGTTTCTCTTAAATTATTAATTAAACTGTACTTTAGCATGCTTTTTTTGCTTAAACCTCGGTGGAATTGTTTCTAATGTTGATTCACAGCCTAATTTCACGATCTTTATTTTTTTAATACACTCTCAGCATGCTTTGTAACCCTTTTTTTGTACGACATCATTTTTATTAATTTTATTTTTTTTTTAATACTTTTTTTCTTTTTTAATTATTTAATAACATGGCAGCACTGAGCGTAATCTCACTTTTAAAGTCGTCATATATATATTTTTTTTGTTGTCATACTTATTAATATAATAATAATAATAATAATATACGATATAATAGTATATTTATATATATATTCATTTTTAAAAAGATTTTTTTTCTCAATAACTGTTAACGACGCGAAAAAAATTAGATTTCTTTTTTTTTCGTTATTAATAAATCTTTTTTTTTAATAGTTTTTAAAAAAATAATCTTCTCCCTGCTAAAGGACTAACCCTACATAACAATATTTTTGTTTTCGCTTTTTCGTTCTTCTCATTTTAATTTTTATTGACTCGGAAAATTTTATTATTAACCTTTCAATATACGCGCCATCTCTTGTTGATTAGTTGTATTTCAAATGACAATCTTTTAATCATTAATATTAATAAATATTAACATTTATGAAATTGTTGTTACATATATTGTAAGGTTAATCATTTTTGCGCTCAAAATTGACAATTAAAAAAATTTTAGTTTCTTCTTTTTGTAATTGACTGGGAACTTATAACAACAATAATTTATTAGTTTAAATGACTTCCGTTCCGCGTCTTCACCCCTTTAATTCTTTAATTTTCAAGTTAACATTAATTTTAATAATTTAATAACTAGATATTATCTTCCTGTTCTTTCTTTTCATCTAATTTATTTTTTTCTTTAAAATTAGGCCATATTTTAAAGGCGTATCGTTAAAAACAAAGTGAGAAAAACGCTCATTATTTGATTAATTTGTAATATTTACCTCAAATCGAAGTCGATTAATAAATTAACAAATTTGACATTTAAACGTCATTAAAAACGGAACCACTGTGAAGTGAGCACCGAGTTACCAACCTAAATAAATGGATTTAAAAACGAATCATTTTTTGAATTAAAAAAAAATAATTTTGTTGCGAAAATCTTTTAATTCTTTGTTAACCTCAAAATTTAAATAGGAGTTGATTTAAACGTTTTTTTAAACGTCAATGTGACATTTAAAAAAATCATTAAATATTAAACGTCAAATTGACATTTGAATTGACTTTTACGTCAGGTGATGTTTAAAATTGTGTCATAAATGTCAAATTGACATTCAAAATAAAGCTTAACCAACTTCAGATTGTTCAAAGTTTGTGAAACTTTAACAATAAAAACTTGTAATAATAATAATAATGTTAATAATACAGTGTCTGTTTTAAGATTAATTCGATTTTACACTGTACATTTTTACACAAAAAAATATTTCAACAAATCAAAAAAAAATAACTTAACAAAACAAAAAATGTACATAATTATTATTAATTGAGATAATGATAGTAATTTGTTGTTGCCAAAACTGTACAAAAAATCGGGCCAACTTTTTATCTCTTAAGATAAAAATCTTATTCATATTATTAACTCGTTATATTTTAATATTTTTTTGCTAGCCTATCCTTACCTCACTAGAATATAAATATATATATATTAAACCTCCTTCTTAATACTAATCAATCGATAACAATGGCGTATTTAATTCTTTTTCGTCTAGTACGAAAAAGTCCTCCTTTTTACACATTCACACACAAATAATAGATTTCTCCCCCATTTTTTTCCTTTCTATATATATTTATATGTATATATACGTATTGTCGTTAAACCTTCGAAAATAAGTCCAAGAAATGACCCGAAAAACAAGGAAACGCAACAGATAAATAAGTTTTTTGTTTAATCGCGTTACTTTTCGTTCGAGCTTTCACTAAACACTAAAAACGCTTTCTTTTATATTATCATATAATTTCTTTCGGCTTCTTTTCTATTTCTTATCGAAATATCTAAGATAATACTTAGGATTTCTTCATTAAATATATATGTATAGTATATAATTTATACTTTTTTATCTCCCTCATTATTAAATAATATTTTAAATATATAAACTCTTCTCTCTCTAAAAAAGTCTCCCCTTTCTTAAGAATCAAGTCATTAACCTCATTTATTATCATTATCATCATCACCATCATTTTCTTTTCCCTTTTAATTAAACATTAAACACCAACCCCACGCACATCACAAAAAAACAATAACGATCCCATCATCACTAATAATACAACAAAAAAATAATCGCTTCATCACAACTCGACCCCACCACATTTTCTTCATCCTCTTCAATCCAAACCACTTCTTTTTTAATAACAACAACGACAACGAAAACAAAATTACCAACTAAACAACCGCAACGAAATCTAAACGAAATGAAATGTAAATGAAACGTAAACGGAATCTAAACAAAATTCAAAAATGAACCGAAAACATCAAAAAAAAACAAAAAAAAATCCAACACGTCACAGTTTGAGCCCTTCGAGTTTCTTGCACGTGTCCGAAACGTCAGAAACAACCGCAACGGGAAGTGGGGCATCTCCAGCACCCCCGATTTCGCTAATCGGGGCTGTATTGTTCCTCCTCACCGATCTCCTACCGCGACGAACCGGAGGAATAAAATGTTGCTGTTGTTGATGATGCTGCTGCTGTTGTTGTTGTCCACTTCCACTAACGACATGATGCACCTGTTGGCCAGAAGAAAAAGATGACGACGACGTTGATGTAATCGTGGTCGATTCGATTTGATGATGATGTTGTTGTTGTTGTTGTTGATGATGATGTGGATTACTTTGATGGTGATAATTCGAACGGCGATGTCCGGTTGAGTAATTTCCCGCACCCCTCGATCCGCGGGTGTTAAAATTTCGATTATTATAATTATGGTGGTTGTTGTAATAATGAAATGTACTTTGATTATTGTATTTCGTTGATCCGTTTCCGCTTCCGTAATGAGAATGGGTCATCGGCGAGTAAGGCGCCGGAGGCGGAGTCATATTCTTTCCGTCAACCCCGCTTGATACGTTATTATCGACCCCTTTGTTGTTGTCGTCGGCTAATTCGCTAGCGGAAGAATTCGACTCGGTTCTTGGTAAACTCGAGGTGTCAACGCTTTTTCTATCGCCGTAATTGTTTCTGTTAATCCCACCTCGTCTTCTCCCGCCTCCAAACCCCTTCTCTTGAGCCCCGTTGTACTTACCCACCCCCATGTTGTCAAAAGGAAACGGCGGAACGTTAAACGACCCGTAATTAATCGGTTGGGGTTGCATAAAAAATCCTTGATGGTGATGATTATAACCGTTATAACCATTACTTCCGGTTAAAACACCCCCTGATCCGGTTCCAATCAAATTATTTTGACCGTTATTGGCGACATCCACGTTACTTTTTCGACGCCTCCCACTTTGCATCGACGTCACATCCTTAACTTTGTGCGTTTCCGACAATAAAGATACGACGGGGGTACCACTTCCGGTGGATGAAGGTTTACTTACGACACTTTGCGGTTGATTATTTTGTTGTTGCGGGTTTTGATTATCGACAACCAGCGATTGTCGGCGATACGCGTCCGATGAAACTACAACGACGCCATCTGGTGTGGCTGTTGGGGTCGCCGACGACGATTGTTGTTGATGTGGTGATGATGCGCTTGCTGTTGATGCGATGTTGCTGTTGTTGTGGTGTTGATGGAGGTGTTGTGGCTGGTGGTGCTGTTGTTGTTGTTGGTGATGATGGGTGTGTTGGTGGTGCTGTTGGTGGTGATGATGGTTGTTGGGGTCGATGATGACGGAATATTCCTTGAATTAAATATTTTTTTATAAAAAATATTCAAAAAACGTTGCTAAGTTTCTTGAAAGCTTGAATTGGATATTTTTGAAAATCAATGAATTTTGCTTTACTTTTAAAAATAAAAATGGCGTTTAAACCAAATCAATTCGAAAGTTAATTTATATAGCATATTATTATAATAACTTAAACTGTGACTCACTTAAACTTTAGTAATACGAAAAATATCCCCACAAAAGTGACACAATTGAAACGTCACTTTGACACAATTAATTTTAAAACATGATAAAACAAAATTCCCCTGTTCATGTTGCCAACCACACAATAATTTGACAAAAATTATAGAAAAAAAGGCTTTTAGACATAAATTGAATTAAAAATAATTGTATCTGATGATTTCGACTGTATCTAAAAAATGCTTAAAAAATCAATTATACAGAGTGAAACAAAAGTGTGGAAATGTATAAAATACAAATGATTTTGACATTAAGGCTTAAACACACAGTCAATGAATTGGCGTTAAGAAATCTTAATCAGAATCGAAAATGCTTTAATTTGATACCAAACATGACATATTTTTGTTAAAAAATTAAAAAGTTAAATTAGAAACTGTCAAATGTCAAAATTATATAACGATATTTTGATGAATATTGAAATGATCTTAATAAGAGTCAAAAATGCTTTCATGCGATACCTAACATGATATATTTGGGTTAAGAAATAAAAAAGTTGGGTTGGAAACTGTCAAATGTCAAAATTAAACAACAATTTTTTGATAAACGTTGAAATGATCTTAATAAGAATCAAAAATGCTTTCATTTGATACCAAACACGATATATTTGAGTTAAAATTAAAAAGTTAGGTTATAAATTGTCAAATGTCAAATAATCGCAATTTTTTTTAGATATCTCGATAACGGTTAGATATAAATAAGTCGAGTTTGGGTTCATTTTAAAGCATTTTTAATTTTCTGTTCATTTATGTTAAAAAAGAACACCTTCATAATCAACCTTTTTTTTTTCGTTATAAAATCGTTATTTAATTTTGACATTTGACAGTTTATAACCTAACCTTTTTATTTTTTAGCCCAAATATATCATGTTGGTATCAAATAAAAGCAATTTTGGCAGATTTTACGTTGATTGTTAGTAAAAATAAAATTAGAACTAGAAACTCAAAGTTTCTATTTTTAATTTTATTTCTAACATTCCTAGAGTTGCATAATGTAATATAGAATACGTATTAATTTTGACATTTGACAGTTTCTAACCTAAATGTTTTATGCTCGGAGTCGAATCCAAACTCAACTTATTTATCTCCAACCCTTATCGTGATATCTTAACTTTGGGAAAAAAAAAATGGCGATTATTTGAAATTTGACAGTTTCTAAGCTAATTTTATAGCATTTTATTTTTTAACCCAAATATATCATGTTAGAACATTGAAATGATCTTAATAAAAATCAAAAATGCTTTCATTTGATACCAAACACGACATACTTGGGTTAAAAAATAAAAAAGTTGGGTTAATAACTGTAAATGTCAAAATTAAATATACCGATTTTTTGATAAATATTAAAATGATCTCAATAAGAATCAAAAATGCTTTAATATGACACCAAACATGATATATTTGGGTTAAAAAATAAAAAAGTTAGGTTATAAACTGTCAAATAATCGCCATTTTTTTTTTGCTAAAAATTAAGATATCTTGATAACGGTTGGACATAAATATATCGAGTTTGGGTTCATTTTGAAGAATTTTTAATTTTCTATCCATTTATGTTAAAAAAAGAATACCTTTACAAGTAAAAATATTTTTTGAATTAATTCTCATTGAGACAAATACGACTTCATCCGCCTAATCCAAAACATTTGGTTATGTCCGACTATTCGGGCGTACTCGGCCGAGTTCGGTTCCACTGCACGGGCAGCTTAATACAGTGACATAAATCAAGTGGCGAAAAGAAAGAGTCAATCACTGCTATTACGCCAATAAAAGTTACAATACTCAAAAATCTTCACCAGAAAGATTAAGTTTAGAATATATAAAACGCTAATAAGACATAGAATAAGCTATGTGGCTGAAACGTGGTCCATAACGTTAAGATTTTCGACCCTACCCTGTGGGAAGACGGTAGGCTGGAGAATTAGAATGAACTACAAGGTGGATAACATGATAGGGGGCGATGATTTATAGTATGATGGCTATGAGAGTGCTAACTAAAGAGTTTTTATATTGGAAGAACAATTTTTAATTTGTTTTATCCACAAATTTATTATCTTTGTAACTAAATTGATATTGTTCCAGATTATCTGATGTATTTTGACAGCACTTTGAACTCTTCAGACCAAAACTCGAGCATTTCTAGATTTAATTAATACCAAGAAAATTAAGACAAATTGTACTTAGGAACGTAGGTCAAATGTTCTTTTTAATTTCCTTTAATACTTGTTCTTCACAACAGTGATAAAATTACCTAAAGGATTGGTTTAAGAAGATAATATTAAAATTTAATACAAATTTGTTGTATAATCAAATAAATCGGGTTGGGTTGTAACTTGGAAAGTTAAAAGTAATCATTTAATTCTCTTGGAAGCAATGTTGGAGCAATCATCACTTAATATATCTATACCATACTAAATATAAGAATGGTGATACTCAGACGTTTAAATCTTTACTGGAAGAAGATAGAGATATAGAAAAAGAGTGTAAATCGTAAACAATGATGAAAGGATGGGTTGGAACATTCTTAATATTAACAAAAACAGATTGGGTAAGGTGAAAACTGACAAATTGATGATTTACTTTCAATAAAATGTAAACTGAATGACATAAAAGATTAAATTAATAAAATTAAATAGAACAAGAACTTTTTTTTTAACAATAATACTTCTTATAACATTGTTAAAGACCTTGAGGATTTCTTATCCTATGTGATTCACAGTAAAGAAGTATAGGAAGTAGTAGGAGTAAATGAGTCACAATTGGAGCTCTCATAAAGAACGATATTAATACAAATTAACTTTCGAATTGATTTCTTTCAAATAATCATTAAAAACGTTAAAAAAATGATTTAAATATTTCTGACTTTTAAATACAAACCTCTGACAATGGTGTCCCATTGGGCATATCAACGGCGTCCGAATACATGGGGCCGGCGCCGTCCACCGTTCCGTACATCGGCACGTTATAGTAGAGGGCGTCGGCGGCTGCTGCTGCGACGGCTGCCGCTGCTGGATACGGTAACTGCTGCTGTTGCCCGTAGCACGATTGTCTCGGGGGGCTACCGGGCCGTTGCATCGCTGCCGCTGCTGCTGCGACCTGTTGAGGTTGACCACCGCCGGCGCCACCGTTACCGCCGCCCTGTTGTCCCCCAACCATGTATTGGGGACCTCCGTTCGGGTAGTAATTGTACTCATACTACAAAAAAAAATATTTTTATAACAATTAATTAAAAAAATAAATAAGTAAATAAATAAGAACTAATCGGTAACACTTTACACGCATTTCATTTTGAGGAGGATTGAAACCTAACCTAATCTAAAAACGTTTTATTCATAGAAATGCGATAAAGAGTTAATCATGCAATAAAAACTCGATGAATTCGTGCAAAAAAAATTGATTGAAAATGTTATGTAAAGAAAAAAACAAAATATGGACTTAATCGATAATAACATACTATTATAATAATAACAAAACACGTGATAAGAAATAATTATTGAAAAATAGAAACTTCATGATACAACAACACACACCAAAAAAAAAAACAACTTAAACGAAACCATGCACAAACGTTTTCGTTCTAGAAATTAAAATAAAATTAGAGAGCAAGAATTATGGGCAGAGACCTTAAGAAAGGGGCGGAACGACACAACCGGGGCCCTCAGTACTGCAGCCCGTCCAGCAAGACGTACGCCGGCTGGGACACCGGGTAGAGCCCCTCCGATAAGTAATTGCTGGACTAAACAGACACATTTTGCCAGAAAAAAAACCAAAAACAAAAACAAGGACAATCAACAACGATAAAAAACTCCCCAAAAAGAATCCCCAAATTAATGTTGGAAATTAAAATTTCAAAAAATTAAATCAATTTAATAAAATAAGAACGAAAACGGTCCCTTTTCATTTTTTTAAAAACATTTTTTTAGTAGGAATCGAAAATGAAACCAAAAAATCATAAATTATTAACATTATTATTATTATTATTAGAAAGAAATTGCGTAAAAAATTTGTTAATATTAAAAACTTACCGGCAACGGCATCGGATATTGTTGTGGCATATACATCGGTTGTGCTGGGAACAACATCGGCGGATACGGAGAGGTTTGTGGTGGACCCGATTGCGCAGGATACACAGTTGGAGCTAAAAAAATAAATTAAATAATAAATAATGTTCTTTTCAACAGTCAACTGGAATGCCAGTTGGTTAAGCTTAAAAGTCTTATGATTATGTCTTGGTGATCATAGATTTATTGAATTATAGTGAGATTAATGTCCGTTTTCGAATCACTGGAAACTGAATTGATTCAGAGACCTACAACCTTCAACGTTGCTGGATATAATCGCTGTGGCTTGTTGTTCTGGATCATGGTGTTCTAGACAATGAAGTATCTGACCACGAAATTGTATTATTATTATTGTTTTACGAATTTGCTTCACGCGAAAAGCATAAAAACCGTTAAACAAGACTTAAAATTGAAATTAAACGAAAAATTCAATAAGACGTAATGTTAGTGATTTTTTTTTTATAAATTTTTTTGTTGGTTGCTTTTAAGAATTAATAAAAAATCAACTCAAATCTGAATGATTTTTATGAAATTAATTTGTCGGTTGTTACGATAACGTTTTGTTAGGTTCATTTGAAAACATTTTTAGTAATATTAATAACGTAAATGTCATTTTTACTTTGAAATGTCATTTTTGACGTTTCCCACATTTTCAAGATTAATACTTTTTGAGATTAAAAACTCAAATTTAAGTGATTTTTATATAATAAACGATCCAGTTGTTGCAATAACGTTTTGTTGGGTTCATTTACAAACTGTTTTAATAATATTAATAACGTAAATGTCATTTTTTACTTTGAAATGTCATTTTCGACGTTTCCCATATTTTCAAGATTAATACTTTTTGAGATTAAAAACTCAATTTTAAGTGATTTTTATGTAATATAAATCATTCGGTTGTTGCGATAACGTTTTGTTGAGTTCATTTACAAACATTTTTAGTAATACTAATAACGTAAATGTCATTTTTTATGTAGAAATGTCATTTTTGACGTTTCCCATATTGTCAAGATTAATACTTTTTAAATTTAAAAACTTAAATTTAAGTGATTTATTTAATAAATCTTTTCGTTGTTGTGATAACGGTATGTTGGGTTCATTTACAAACATTTTTAGTATTACTAATAACGTAAATGTCATTTTTTATGTAGAAATGTCATTTTTGACGTTTCCCATATTGTCAAGATTAATACTTTTTAAATTTAAAAACCTAAATTTAAGTGATTTTTATTTAATAAATCTTTCCGTTGTTGTGATAACGGTATGTTGGGTTCATTTACAAACATTTTTAGTATTACTAATAACGTAAATGTCATTTTTTACGTAGAAATGTCATTTTTGACGTTTCCCATATTGTCAAGATTAATACTTTTTAAATTTAAAAACCTAAATTTAAGTGATTTTTATTTAATAAATCTTTCCGTTGTTGTGATAACGGTATGTTGGGTTCATTTACAAACATTTTTAGTATTACTAATAACGTAAATGTCATTTTTTACGTAGAAATGTCATTTTTGACGTTTCCCATATTGTCAAGATTAATACTTTTTAAATTTAAAAACCTAAATTTAAGTGATTTTTATTTAATAAATCTTTCCGTTGTTGTGATAACGGTATGTTGGGTTCATTTACAAACATTTTTAGTATTACTAATAACGTAAATGTCATTTTTTACGTAGAAATGTCATTTTTGACGTTTCCCATATTGTCAAGATTAATACTTTTTAAATTTAAAAACCTAAATTTAAGTGATTTTTATTTAATAAATCTTTCCGTTGTTGTGATAACGGTATGTTGGGTTCATTTACAAACATTTTTAGTATTACTAATAACGTAAATGTCATTTTTTACGTAGAAATGTCATTTTTGACGTTTCCCATATTGTCAAGATTAATACTTTTTAAATTTAAAAACCTAAATTTAAGTGATTTTTATTTAATAAATCTTTCCGTTGTTGTGATAACGGTATGTTGGGTTCATTTACAAACATTTTTAGTATTACTAATAACGTAAATGTCATTTTTTACGTAGAAATGTCATTTTTGACGTTTCCCATATTGTCAAGATTAATACTTTTTAAATTTAAAAACCTAAATTTAAGTGATTTTTATTTAATAAATCTTTCCGTTGTTGTGATAACGGTATGTTGGGTTCATTTACAAACATTTTTAGTATTACTAATAACGTAAATGTCATTTTTTACGTAGAAATGTCATTTTTGACGTTTCCCATATTGTCAAGATTAATACTTTTTAAATTTAAAAACCTAAATTTAAGTGATTTTTATTTAATAAATCTTTCCGTTGTTGTGATAACGGTATGTTGGGTTCATTTACAAACATTTTTAGTATTACTAATAACGTAAATGTCATTTTTTACGTAGAAATGTCATTTTTGACGTTTCCCATATTGTCAAGATTAATACTTTTTAAATTTAAAAACTTAAATTTAAGTGATTTTTATTTAATAAATCTTTTCGTTGTTGTGATAACGGTATGTTGGGTTCATTTACAAACATTTTTAGTATTACTAATAACGTAAATGTCATTTTTGACGTTTCCCATATTTTGAACATTAATACTTTTTGACCAATCATAGACAATGTGTGAAGTTGGTTTTTCAAATCTAACAAGGGGTATAGTAGACGCCACGAGAGCTGGCAGTAAATCATCGTTTTCCACTCTTACAAATGCCATACGTAGTTCACAAACCGCTAGCGAGTAATGTGTGTTAGAAAGAGATAGCATTAGTTTAATATGTCTGCTGTACAATTCAAATGGTCGCGTCGAAAAAGTACGTCTGTTCTTCTAAGGGATGTAACTCTATAACTATAACCTCAAATTGAAACGTCTTGTGAGCGTTGTCATGACTCTGTTAGTGTTTTTACAAGCCGAAAATGTTTTCTTTGAAAGGAAAATCATTAATAATATCTTTGACAATGTTTGACATATAACCTCCATTACTAACATAACCTTCATTTAAATGTATGTGGTGAAATAATCTAAATCGTACGTCCATATCTTGATTCATACCATTTTTAAGCGATCTGTCACTGCCAGCTCTCGTGGTTTCTACTATATTCTTCAGGGTTCTGTATTAGGACCATTACTTTTAGTACCTACACGTTTTTGCTACCCAAGTGTTTTCAACTTTCTGATATTCACCAACACGCTGATGTATACCTTAGTTTTCCTAGAGACCAGTTAAGACACAGCAGTAGCTATAGTCTGTTTTTAAACCAGGAGGAGTGAATGCGAAAGTCAGATTTACACTAGGAAATATCACCAGAACATATCACTAGATATTTTAGCGGTAAATTTAAATTAATAATTGTTATTATTTACTTATTATTGTATTTATTTTCGTTTGTTATCGTCAGCACTAAACATACATATTACCATTGAAGTTATAAGTGTATTTATTTTAAAACATAATAAAGAAGGGTTTAAGAACACAAAATTTACAATAATGACACGAAACGGTCGAACGATCAATAACCTAACCTTCAAACTCAAAATTCCAAATTGCCTGTGTATGAACCTTCCTCGCATTCAACCAATCACGTGCAAGGTCAATCTGAAATTCAAAATCAAAATTCAAAATTGCCTGTGTGTGAACCTTCCTCGCATTCAACCAATCACGTGCAAGGTCAATCTGGTGACAAATTTAAAATGCTCCTCCTGGTTTAAAAACAGACTATAGTATTAACAAGGATCTGCTCATTCATTAATTTTGAATCCAGAATAAAGTTTGGTGTTTGATAAAGAGTAGTAGAATCTGTGAGTCGCAATGTTGATATTATACTTGGTGGCCAAAAACTTGGGTTTAATTATTGACAACAATTCTTGAAATTAAGGAATAAGACTTATTTTAAATTAAAGCTCAATGCTTTCTTCTTAAAATGATCTGTAATAATCACACCTAATAACCATTTATCAAAGAGATACCTTTTTGAACAATAAAATTCAAAAACACCACTTTTCACTAAACTTCTAACCTCACATCTGGACGAATAAGTTTAAATAACCCTACAGTGCGGATTGTGTCATTTTTTATACAGATTCCTTCTTGTATAGTAGAAAGTACCGACAGTTCTAAATGCGCCGAACAGATGACTACAGTTTAAAATGAATGTTTAAAACTACCAGTACTTTAAAGTACCGTCGGGACACAAAGGGTTAAACTCGCGGTTATTTCCTGTATTATGCGATGAAATGGGATGGTTTCTTGTGTTATCATTGCAAATAAAATCGATGGACAGAAACGAAAACTTAAAACATGGAAAAATCGTTTATCAAGAAAGTGTTATAGCATGTTAGACAACTTAAGAGACATTCATCCACGATGCAGGAGAAGAGCTTGATGTTACGTCTCTAAAGGCCACGTTACAGTTGGCAAGTTTTATTGCCGGCAAAAAATATTGCGGAAATTTATCTTTCACGCATGCGCAAATGCACTTGCAGATGATAGGTTTGAACATATATTTACGCTGAAAATATGATGAGTTTTCCAACTGTAAAATATAACGGTAATGTGTTCGCCTCAATCTTTCAAAAAATATATGTTGGCAGCATTGATTGCAACCGAAATATTGCAGTTAAAAGTTTGCCAAATGTAAAGCCAATCGCGCTAGATATGCTGCAATAACTTCGTGCAAGATATCTTGCTTATTGTAAAGTGGCCTTAAGAAAAGTTATTAGTGAAAGTTTGTCGAAATTGGAATTTTACTTCCCAATAGAAGATCCATGAAAAGAAAATAGTTAGGTACGAAATTCTTTCATTGCAATAAAAGCCAATTTACCAGTTGTCATAGAAAATAAATTATTGGAGCTCATAGTTTTGAAGATGATAATAAATCACTTTTTTTGGTTACAAGTTAAAACAGAATATCCTGAGCTCTCAGACATTGTCTAATAGTTCCTAAGCATAGTTGCATTAAAAGTTCACTGCAACTGAATATGATACCAGTCTACAACAGAAAGTTGGCTTTTCACTTTTTCAGTTATTAGAGGATCAATTATGTTCTCTAACATATTCAAGTAGATGTCAACATTAATTTTTTGAAGTGTCTGGGCATGTTCCTCTTGTCATATTGAGATTTTCGTCGTTCCAATATCGTACATTATGCTTGTTCACATGTCCATTTAAGTAAAAAGCGCACTCATCACTAAAGCAAACGTTCTTTTACTAAATTTTGATTGGAAATGATCATTTTGGTCATAGTTTCGCAAAAATCTAGTCGTTAGTCGCTAAGTTCTTGCAATATTTGCGTCTTGTAAACTTGTTGCAAAGACCTGGTTTAGCTCCAGGTAAAATTTTTAATGACTTCTATCTACACCAGTTCATCTACTACCTTAGTAGCACGACTTTTCTTGTTTTCTACTGATAAAATTGCTTCAAATTTATGTTCTATATGATTATTTGGATGTCTTTGATTAAAAATTCTTGCTGTAGCACAAGCAGCATAAATGTAGATAACTTCTACCCTTTCAGCAATAAAGTAAACAATTTTTATGGAAACTTAGGTAGAAAATTAAGTTTTGATAGTGCTTTTCGTTCTCCTGAAGTGGCAATGATAAACTTTCTCATAAAATATATGAAAAAATATCAAACATGGGCAAGTGACACATCATTCTATTTAAAATTTTTGGGTCCCCCTTGAAAAATCGTTTTAAAAAAATCACCCTGTATATATTTTATAGATTTTTAAACAAATTCTTTATAAGAAAATTTCTATACAACAAATTTTTTCTTTAAAACCTCTCCAATTTCGTTATATAGAGGTCTTACTCTAATAAAAAAAATTAATAAAATTATAATAACCTTGATACATGGGTGTTTGTTGTGCTGTGGGGTCACCAGAAGCAGCCGAAGGTGCCGGATAATACAAATTCCCTTGAAAGAAAGGAATTGAGCCTGGAAAATAGTATTGGGGGTTCCCTGCTGCTACAGCCGGAGGACTCGCCCCATCGAAAGCTCGACCATACGCTTGTAACGGCGGCTGTTGCTTCTTAATCGCCGGCGCTATGTTTAATTTCCTCTCGCGGAGCACGATGTTATCGGACTCCCTTTGTAATCGTTTCGCATCGTCTTCACTCTCAAACGTTATAAAACCATAACCTTTCGAAACTCCTGCTCGATCTTGAATGATTTTTGCAGCCTTTACTGTACCGTAATTACTAAATAACTGCATCAATTCGTTTTCTGTTGTATTTGCGGAAATTCCACCAACAAATATTCTATTTGGAACTAATGTACCTGTAGAAAAAATAAATACAACATTAAAATAAACCATAATAAGACTTTTTATTTTATTTACCGTATTTGGGAGCATTATTATTAGGTGGTGGAGTAGTTTGTGTAGCACTTTGTCCATTTGAAATCCCTGTAACGCTTCCAACGGGAGTCCCAGACGGTGTATTAGCAGCCGTGCTTGTCCCACTCCCCGGTTTTTTCCCGTTGGCTGCTGGGCCGGTCGTCGACGACATCTTGGCCTCGACCCCAAACCGCCCAAAAAACTAAACTATCCCAAAACGTCTTTGTTGTACCTCGTTTTAAGTACTTCCTGATTTAAACGGGGGCAGTAATACGATTATGCTGCATTACTGGTTAAGTTGGGAAAATTAATAAGAGAAAATCGTCTCGGGGGAAGAAGAAGAAGAAAATGGGGCAACCCCAATTGGATAATCTACGTCTGTGTTGCTTTCCTTCTTCCCTTTGTGTGATAAACTTCTCCAATCACCCCAGTAAGATCAAAAAGCTCTGAAATTGATTAAAAAAGGATTATTTTACTGCTTTATAATAATAATAACAATAGTAATTGGTGTTTTAGGTGCGCGTATGTGTTAGAATGAGACGGAAACGGGGAGAATATGAAGTGAGATAGAGATAGGGGGAAAAGTGGATGGTGGAAACACGTTTTCCCTAGGCAATGACCTAGTTTTTGCAACCCCTTGCCCTATTTTCCATTTCGACTTACTTTCACACAGGAAATTATTACCCCGGGTTAAATAAACCAAAATTTTTAAGCTGTCACTAAAATAATGCCTCAAAAAATTTCCTCAAAAACACAAAGCAAAAAAAAATCACCTCAATAACTCACCCCCAAAACAAATAAGATAAAATCGCGTTAAAACCACCTTTCGAGACCCAATTAATAACCCCGCGAAAGAAACCACCGCATAAAGTGTCTCTTTTGCTATTCTATGACAATAGGGGGGAAACATTCGGAATAAAAAACGGAAAAATGTATGAAAACGACGAGCGTTAAGTGAAAATTTCTTTGAGTAACTTACGCGGTAAACGTTCCTCGTCGTTATTTTCGGAATCATTAGTGAACGTTAACAAATATTAATACACAAACTATTTAAAAACGAAAGTCTTTTATCCACTACACAAAACGGAATCGAGTCGATAAAATGGCGTCGACCAATCACAATCGTGCGATTACGGCACGCGACGTCGGTAAAACAGAAACCTAATCGCGCAATTCCCGCTTAAAATAACGTTTTTTAAAACAACCCACAACTAAACTTACCGTTAATCGCCGAATAAATCTTTTTCGATTTTTTTTAAACACCGACAACGTTTTATTGTTTTAACCTTTATGTATCTCGGAAAAAACGGTCACCGTCAAAGAAAATCGATCGGAACACTGCAGTGGTTTCAACGAGAAATGCGAATGTTGGAGGGGGAAAACGTTGTTAAGGGTTGCCTAACGATAAAAAGAACACGATTTTTAGGTTATGTCACACTTACCTTACTAAAAAACTACTTTTTTAAACGAAATTTTCTTTTTTTCGATCCTTTTCAACTAAATATACCTAAATAAACACTAAACTTTTCACAGTTCGTTAAACGAGCCCCGGTTGTTGCGTTTTAAGTGAAGGAACCGCGTCGTTCGGCGAATTCTGCTGGTAACAACCGCGGATGATGGGGCGAAGGCGCGGGATATTGGGGGGGTTGAAAAACACAACGCGAACACAACTCGTTAAAAACGTTTCAAATAAACAACAATACAATGTTTACTAACAAAAACAAAAGGCGGGCGGCGAAGCGCGTTCGTTTCGTTCGTCGATTCGCCGGCCGGAGCCCACTGCGTCGCTAGTGGTTGATTTTTTTTATAAAAATTTTTTTTGACATTTATGGCGGGAAATTTAAAATTGATTAATTAAAAATTATTAAATTGAATTCATTAAAACGAATTATTATTAATTTATGATAAATTTTATATTATTATTATTGATTTATGATAATTAATAATAAATTTTATATTATTATTATTGATTTAAATTAAAAGTGAGGTTAAGTTGTGATTAAAACGTTTTAATTTAATTAGAAATTATTTTAAAACTATTTGTTAATTTTTTGTGTAAATAAATGAAAATAAGTTAATATATATTAAATTTATTATTATTAATTTTTTTTTGAGAAATATAAATACAAATCGGAAAGTAACAAGTAATAAGAATTTTACAACTAAACTTACCGAAAAGATTAAGAAAAGAAATAAAAACCTTTATCTTTTTGAAACCAATTTTTATTAATTTTTTTTTAATTAATTTTTTTTGTGAAAACGGAAAAAAAATACTAAATGCTGCCTGTCTATTGCGTTGACGTACTATTCATCAATGCGGTATCTTTCATGTGTTTCTCCACCTAAAACACCATCAATATAATTAAATTAATAATAAATATAACCTAAAAATTAATTTTTACACACCACTTTTCGTATATACGCATATCCTTTACTATTCAAATTCCCCTTTATGTCATCCACTTGATAAGGGGGGCAAATCACTACATCGTTTTCCCAAACGACGATATTCGAATTACTCCATCGTACCTCGGAAATAGTTTTACTAATTGCTATAAACAAACGTTGACCTTCAGGAGATACATTTGCAGACATCGCCTGTAATAACCTCTTTTTTTCATCTACTTGATTTCTAATTCTTGTGTTTAACTAAAAAAAAGATAAAAAATTACTTCATTTAAGTAAGCTTCATCATAAATGACTCACCCTGTTTAAATTTAAGCTTTGAGGAATTTCTGGTACCGAAGTGACTTCCCTTTTAACTTGTAGCTCGCTTACCAATTGCAAATTAACGAAGTGCACGTCGTACGGATGTTGACTTTGCGAGTGAATCGAAAGACATTCTAAAAGGGGGCGAAATTAAGGAAGAAAATCTTGTGTTTTTTTTTTTTCGAGTACATTGTAAAGTTTTTAATCGCAAAAAGGATACTCAATATAAGAACTTTCGTATTGGGGTCAAAAGCGAGGACTTCGCCCTCAATTTCCTTGTCGTAACATGTTTTACACCAAACCGTACTTCCTAATGAAAAACAATCCGAAACGGCGGCCATTTTGTTAATGTATGTCGGATTGACAGATAAGTTTTGATGTTTAGTTACTTCATGTGTAACAACTTAAAAATAAGACCCCATTTAAAATTTTTTTTGTTATAATAATTAAATAAAAATTGATTATTTATTTTATTGGGTTAATTTTGAATCAAAAACGCCTCGAATAAAAAAATAATTTAAGATTAATAATTATTTTGATAAATTCAAGTATAACAACACAAAAAAATTACATTAAAATTTTTCTAAGCCAAAATTTAATTTAATTTTTGTTTAAATTAAAAAGAATTAATTGATTAATTTAAAAATAAACTAAATCAAGTTTTAATTAACCCCAAAAATTCGTTAAAAAAGTTTCTGCGCATTTATTCCTGCGCATAACTTCCGCTTATCAGTTGTGTATCAACTTGTAACCTCTTATGGCGGTTTTCTTCGGTTTTTCTTAATTTTGGGATTAATCCCACTTTCAAACAGAATTACTCTTAAAAATCAACTTTAAACCAAAATTGAGGTTTAAATCGCCGTTAAGTGTAAATTTTTTTTAGGTTAAATGTCATTTTAAAGTGTCACAAAATGTAAGAAAAACTTTAATGAATTAATTTTCGATTATATTTCAATTAAAATTAATGTTTTAGATGACGTCCAGTGAAGAAACCACAACGCTTTTTACCCCCACGCTGAAACAATCAACTCGTAAACGTAAATTATCAGAAAACATTGACCCCAACAATATTGAAACATCACAAATAAGTGCTTCTAGTTTATTAACAAGTACTTTAAACGACTCGATTTCATCGAAATTCGAAAATTTGCAACCTTTCCGCCCGGAATTGTCTCCATCTCTCGTTGAATCAAGCCCGGCGAGTTTTTCAAAGTATAAAATCCCACCGGGGAGTAGTCCTAAGTTGGGGTCACCGGAACGTTCGAGGATTTTGTACCCGAATTTAAATCCAACGTCGAAAAAGCGTTTGTACGATTTTAAACGATCATCGCCGGCTAAAAAGAAACTATTTAACGTAAAACGAAGTGGTTTTAAAGATCCTGTAAAGTTTTTTTGCCACACTGTTAATTGTGAACATGTAGTTAAGAAGATTTTGAAGTGTTTAGATGAGCGCGATCTTTATAATTGTTCGAGGGTGTCAAAAATATGGAAATCGGCGGTGATTTTGTTTGAAACGGAAAGATTTGAGCATTACAAAAACGATCGAATTATAAATAAAGAGAATTATAACGCATCACCGAATTGGTTTAAAAACGTTTCGAATTTTAACCAATCGACGCCTATTTCCTCGATTAGCGAACGTACAAATTGTTTAACGAAAGGTCAACATCTCCAACATTGCCACAGTTGTGGAAAACCGACCGCAATTGTACAACAACACATCAGTCAATGCTCAAGAATTGCTTGTGGTTTTATTATTTGTTTAAAATGTAATAGTTGTTCATCCACGGGACCTGAAAACTTTAAAGATGCTTGTAATAGTGCTATGTTGGTGGTTGAAAAGCCGCGAAAACGACGTAGTTTGTTGGATAGTCCAGTTAGGGATGAGAATTCAACCCCTTTTTTCTTGCAAAATAATAATTCGATCAGTACTTTGAGTTCTTCCGGGTACGGAACTGAGCTGGATTCGTCAAATTCGCATTACGTTTCTGGATCGTTTAATAAAAATAGTTCTTATACGTTAAAAAATTTTAATGAGACAAGTTTGAAGAGGATTAGCATCGAAAAACGACCATCGCCTGTTGTTCCCGTTATACCCGTTGTTAACGTGAAGAAATTGGAGCCTGATTATGAACCCTCAAGTCCCCCAAAGGTTAAATTGGCTTCAATTTGTTCTAAGAAAAGTAAAAAGGCGCTTAGAAGACTTTAAATGTATTATTATTATGATTTTTTTTTTAATTGGTTTAAGTTTACTTTTCTTTTATTTTTTTATAATTATTAACTCTAGTTTTTAAGTGTTTCTTTAAGTAAGTAGTTGTAATCGTTTTTTGTATCTTTTTTACTTACATCGAGATGTTTTTCTAATTTTTTTTTTTCGAAATGTGATTTAAAGAACAAAAATGTGTCTTCATTTTGGAAAGAATATAACATTCCAGTGATTTTTAAAATGGAACTATAATAAAAAACGATTTTTATAAAATTAATTTTTATTTATTGTAGTAATTTAACAACATAACCTCACTTTTTTCATTTTTTAAATAATCGCTATTGAAACTAAATAAATTACATCTCTTTACGCTTCATTCTATTAAACTTTAAAAAGAGTAACAATTAAACCCTCAATTAATTAATTAGTAATAATAAATAATTTAAAAAAATTATTTAACCTCACTTTTAAAAGTCAATTTATCAACATCCATTTAAAATAAACGATCGCAACATCTCCATCTCTTTCTAACTCAAAATACACGATAAACCCGTCTCTTTCTAACCGATTATTTTAATCGTGTACGTTTTAATCGAAATCCTTGAATGTCACTTTTTGTAGGACTGCTACACCCGATATTTTTAGTTCTAGGCTAGTGTTAGTTCTAGTTTTAGTTCAATTAAAATATGCAAACTAGAATTTATTTCACTCCTCCGAATTAAAAAAACTAAAGTATAATATTAAAAATAAATTAAAAAAAAAAATAATTTATGAATAAATCGATAGATGGCGCTTTAATGAACTAAATTTCCTTTGACAGTTAGTCAACCTAACCTAAAAGTTTTCTTCGTCGATTTATGAAGAAAAATGTTCAAACTCCACACCAGTAGAAGAATAACTAATTAATGAAGAAAAATGGAAAATTCTCGGTGATAATGCGTTAAAAAAGAAATAAAATCGCGATGTTGTAATAGTATATTAAAAAACAAGTTTTCTAAGACACGTTTGAAATGCACGAATTCAAGTTGAAAAACGAGTGCCGAAGCCACCAATTTTTTAATGAATGAGTGCTTTAAGTCTTATAAAACGTGTTTTTTATACTATTTTTTGTAATTCACGTTTTTATCATTCTTTTTTAACAATAATAAAATAAATTTTGACAATGTAGGGATATAGGTATGTAGCAGTTGGTAACATCGTAACACTTGAAAATAGAAATTAGAATTGACAATTAGAAATGACAAAACATGACATTGATCTTTAAACAGGTATAAATAATGCGAATTCAAATTGTCACATTGACAACTAGAAAAATTAATGATGAAAGAACACCAAGAAGTTGTCCATTTGTCTGTTATTTGATAACTATCTTCATTAAAAATCCTTTAAAGTGAATACAAACACGACATATTTATCTTTAATATTAATGAAGTTATGGTCAATTTCCAGTTAGAAATGTCAACCTCAATTTTAACATATGTATTTGTAATCGTCGTGAAAAATCCTTCAAAATGAGCCCAAGCATAATACGTTTAATTCCAATATTACTCGAGATATAAGCAACTTCCGGTTTGAAATGTCAATGTCATTTTAACCGTGTTAAAATGTTTTGTTGTTAAAAACAACAATATAATAAAAAAAAAATCAGAGATTAAGGTTGGTATTAATATTTAAAAATTAATTGCTATCTTCATTGTTGCTAACTTCGGGTTTAATGTTTTTTATTCTAACTTTTTTATTTTTTGAGATAAGTGCGTCATGTTTGGACTCATTTTAAAGGTTATTTTATAAAGATTAGGAATATAATGATAAATTTAAAGTTGACATTAACACCTGAAAGTATTTTTATTAGCCGTGCGTCCAAACTCTTTCAAAAAACATCAAAAATATTAAACTAAATCCGATATTTTCTAGTTCTAGGTTTAGTGTTAGTTCTAGTGCTAGTATTAGTCTAGTTTTATTTGTTATTCAGCACTAGATTATGTCCCAGTATTAATCCGTTATATCGAGGTTTTAGTGTATTGTCAAATTATGTCAAACATGTTTATGTGGGACAAAGCGATTTTTCATTTTACTCCTCCAAATTAAAAAATAGAGTATAATTAGTAATTAATTATTATAATAATTAGTATAATAAAAAAAAAATTTAACCTCATTTTTAAAATAAACGATCGCAACATCTCCATCTCTTTCTAACTCAACATACACGATAAACCCGTCTCTTTCTAACCGATCGTTTTAGTCGGGTACATTTTAATCGAAATCGTTGAACGCAACTGTCACTTTTTGTAGTTTTTCTTGAGTGTTCCGAGTATTATTTATCATTTTATCACTTAGTGGGGGCCAATCGATTACAAAAAAATGCGATTTAACAGTAAATTTACAACAACGGCGCGATTAAACGCGTAAAATATCCATTTGCAGCGTTAATTTCCGAAGAATGAATCACAATAAAGAAGATTGAGGTTATGTTGTTAAAAATGAGTTTGGTGAAGGTTTTAATAATCTTGAGCGTTTCAATAGGTGAGTGCTTTTATTTATTTAGAAAAAATTTACAAATCTTTTTAATTTATAAACATCCGTTTCCCCAACAGCCGCACCACGGAATTTTTCCGGCGACTGGAAAATTAGAAATATTCGACATTTTTCGCATTTTAACAGTTCCACAACTACTTAAACTATTCGTACGTTCCCTTTCGGATAAATAATCATCGTAAACACTATGAGCGGAGTTAAAACCTAATCCTATGATATTCGAACGATCCGTACAAACAGAAAAGCTTCGTTCCCTTAAAAACCGTTCGGTTGAATTCGAAAATTTTTCGTTATTACTTATAGTACTTCTCCGATTTTTTAATTTCTCCGCTTTACTTTTATGCTTTTTGTGTTGCTTTTTTTCATCTTTAACTTGCACGTGTTTTTCGGGCGATAAAGATTGACTTTTACGCGTTTTCGATGTCTTATCAACGCTTGATTTTCTCTCGGGGGTTTTTCTAGTTTCTGATGAAGTCCTTTTTTGATCGTTATCTAACGTGGTTGATTTTTTTGAATCTAAACTAGGGGTTTTTTGTAAATCGTGTTTTTTATCGAATTTTAAATCGAAAATGTTTCTTTTTTCCGGTGTTTTAGGCGTTGCCGAACTTAAACTTAACTTTTCTTCTTTATTTTTCGTTTTTTTCCCTTTAAAATGAATGGAAACTTTCCTTCTAATGCTTAATTTTGGTTGTTTTTCCGGTTTTTTATTCTCAATTACCAATGAGGTCTTTTTCTGGTCAACATCTTTCTCTAATTTCGTTTTAATTTTTGTGTTCTCGTCGTTTTCGTTGTTTATAAATGGTGTTTCAATTTTTTCGAGGTCGTTTTTTTTGGTTTTATCAACAATTCCGTTGTTAATAAAATTATCTGGGTTGTAACGGTTAAAATAATCGTTTCCTGAACCGAAATAAAACGGATTTTCTTGTTTTACATCATCTAACGACTTAGTTTTTAATGATTCTGCGCTGTTTTGGACGTTTCTATACTTATCAAAACCAATTAGTGGCATCGGTGTTGGCATTAAAACAACGTTTAACTCACTTTTATAAGGTTTTGGCTCTAAAATTTCATTATTTATTGGATTAATCGAATTTAAACTCGGGGTTAAAGCTACATTATTAATTTGTTGTTGCTGAATCGTTTCATTTTGAATTATTTCACTTCCATTAGGATAATTTAAATTAGAATTAGATAATTTCAAAATATCCTGTGAGATGCTTTCAATATCATTTAATAATTCCTCTAAATTTCCTCCATTACTAAAAGTACTCGAAGTAATTGTATTTGTAAAATTATGATTATCCATTTTAACAATTAAATCCGTGCTTGATTTGCTTATTGGGTGCATTAAATTTAGATTGTGTTGTTGTCTTCTTAAATTAATATTTTCGTACGGAGGATATAAATCCAAGTGGGGATAAAAATGTCCCGGATTTGGATCATAACAATTCACCACATAATCGTCGTCGTTTAAAGGCCCTTCACAACTTCTACTTAATTTATTAATTGGCGAAAAAAAGTGTTTCGGTGGCGGCTTTTCTTCCTCTTCGATCAAAATTGTTGGCGACGTTGGTTTTGTTAAAGTCTCAAAGCTTGGATACGATTGATCCGGTTTTATAACGTCGTTTCTTTCATTCGTGCCCCAATTATTATTATTTTCGTTTGGAATTGAGTTTTTATCCGAGTTTTCCGTTGAATTTTCTTCTGGTACAACAGAAAGGTGATCAAAATCGACATGAAGGCTTTTCAAATTCGTTTTTTGAACGTTTTCCAAATTTTGATTGGTTTCGACTTCGTTTGAATCACTTGAACATGTACTACAAGATTCCTAAAAAAAATATTTAATTAAATAAAAATCATTTTTAGGTTATGTTTAAATGTCATTTTTTTAAACGTCACTTTTTTAAACGTCATTTTTTTAAATGTCATTTTTGACATTTAATAAAAATTAATAATTTTATTTTAAAATCGTACATTTTAAAGCAGTTTTAAAGCGTTCCTGGTTGTTAGTGTTAACAGTGGAGAGTGGTTTGGGGTTATTTACAATTGTAAAAACAAACAGTTTACCGTTTCGGAACCGCTACAGGTTCCAGATGACGAGGAGAAATTGATCTCCTTCTCCTTGATTAACTTGTCGAGTTTATCGTAGGCGTCCCTTAAGCACCACATTTCTTTTTTTAACATTTCGTTCTCGCGCTTTAATTTTTTTATATCCGATTGGCCGCGCTCCACTTCCGCATTGATGTTTATCGTTTTTAATCGTAGCTCTTCGTTTTCGTATATCATACCCCTCGATGATTTCCGATCCAACCTTAAAAAAAAAATTAAACAACAATCTTTTTGTTTTCGCTTTGAACGCATTTGAGATACTAAAATGAGTTCTAAATCGGTTTTAAAGCGGTTTCCAAATGTTTACAAATAATGAGAACATAGCTCTTTATTTTTTTTTGTTTTTTTGTTTGTTACGAAAATAAACTTGTGCGTTACTTACTTCCGGTTGGGTTTAACGTTGTTGTCTCTGCGCCTCGTGCGCAACATATTCATTGACTTCGACATCTTTTTGTGTAATAATTTATTTTCTGTAAAAAAAAGTTAAATTTGAAGGTTACGATGACTTTTTAAACGTTAAATATTGTAATAAACGCTTAAAATAGATAAATTGGTCAAGTTCGAATTGCGAAAACAACTTTTAAGCATAACCTCAAATTAAAATAAATGTCATTTTTCTCGTTTGAATTGTTGTAATGGCCGATTTCAAATCTACCAACCTAAAATAAAAAATCTCAATAAAATAATTATAATTTTTTGGACAATTTTACATCAATTTTAATTAATTAACGCTTTTAATTTACTTTATTAAACATAATTCAACGTTTAATTAATAACTCCCATTTTATTTGATTTATTTAAAAATTTTAATTTAATTTTTATTATTTGACATTTGAGGTTATGTCATTGTTGTGACATCTAACGATTTGATTACGTTTTATGGAGTTAATTAATTAGTTATTATTATTACATTTTTGGGTGTTTTAATAAAGGTAGGTGATTAAAATTAACTTTAATATCAAATTAATCCTTTCAATCTTTAGTATTTCTAACTTTACGAAGAAAAAGTGGGATTCCAATCCTTATATAGTATAAAATTAACGAATATGGTTTAATTATTAAAAGGAAGAAATCAAAAATGTAATAATCATTAAACGAAGACGAGATTTTATCATTTTTGACATATAAAATCATTTCCATTTTATGATGATGATTTTTTGGGTTATAATTTTGAATTCCGATGTGTTTTCCGCGACCGTATGTGTGTTTCTGCGGTTTTAATTCGAAAATAGAATCGGAAAATCGGTTTCCGATCGTTAAAATTTCAATTTTGCCTTTTCTTTATTGATCCCCATCTCTTTCTCATTCCGTTTTGGGGCGGCCACTTTGTGATCTTTGTATATCTCGATCTTTATCATCGCCCAAATAAAAAAAATAAATACATGCCAATGGAAAAGAAATAAAAATCAGTCCGGGTCAGTGTTTACGGGAGTTTTTATAAATATTTGGATGTTTTATTATTAAAGGGGGCTATTTTTTTGATGAAAAAAGGAACGAAATGATGATCATTCTTTTTGTTTTAATTTAATTTAGATTTTATATATTTAGTTTCGATATAATCATAAAATTAACCATTAAAAAGCAAACAAACGGGTGTTTTAACACGCGGAAACGATGTTTGTTTGAAACATTTAATATATTACGTTATATTATTCAAGAGTACTTCCTTATTTTCTAAAAAAAGGTTCTACTGAATGTTTTGACTAAGAAAATTGAAAATAGGTTAGATTTTTTTCCGATTACACAAAAAATTAGGTCAAATATTTATAAATCTAATTTTCTTACCTTAAAATAACACTTTTTTAAACGTTATAACCTAAAAGATCACCTTTTCTTCTTTAAATGAAAAATAATACACTATTTTTAATTATAACCTTAAAAAATCACGATTTTTGACAAATTCAAAAAATTTTCTAACCTCAAAAAAATTAAATGGAAATTGCAGCGATCTCAACCGAATTAATTTTAATTTTTTTTGTGATTGTGACGGTTTTTTGGTTGCATTTATAGGTGCAAAACCCGTTTCCCGTTTTTCCGAGCATTCCACACCGTTGGAAGAGAGAATTTCCCAACTTCTCTCTCTCAAAAACTCTCCCCTTCCACTATCTCGGAACGATCTAAAATTAAAGCGAATTTATTTTTGGAATTTCAAACCACAAGAAAGACAGAGAACCTTTAATCTTTATAATCTTTTCAAGAAAAACTAAAATAATTATAATTCATCAAAATCAAGTATTGTGAGGTTATGTTTTTTTTTATGTTCCAGATTTTTTTTATGGTTACACTTTACAAGAGAATCAAGCGAATATTGATGTAAATTACGACGATTTTTTACCTACGGATTTACAATCGAATGGTTTGTATTTAATTCTTATTTATTTAATTATTTTTGAGGTTAATATTTAAAAAGTGACGTTTTAGAAATGTCAAAAATGTCAAAATAATTTTTTGATTTCTTTTATATAGATACTTATAAAATAATTAATGGTTTAACGAATACGACGAAATTAAAAGGGGATTTGATACAGTTTTTGTGTGAAATTCAAATATTAGATGTTAATTCGACGGAGAAAATTGGGGTGAAATGGCACCATAACCTCGATGGGTTATCGAATAATGACAAAAACATCAAGATTTTAACGGTAATAAATAATAAACTTATTTTTTATTTAATTCTTAGTAAATAAATCGCTTTTTATTAAACATTTTTATTAAAAAATTAAAAAAAGTATGTTGGGATCAAAAAAAAATGTCATTCTCCATCTTTTTTATGTCTATTAATATAAACATAACCTCACTTTAAAAAAATTTTTTTTAATTCTTATTTTATTGCTATTTTAAAGTAAATATAGGATTAAATAAATAAAAATTAATCAAATTTGGTTAATGTTAAAATTATAAATGACTGGGAAATCTTATTTTTATTAAAAAAAATAATTTTTGCTAAAAACATAACCTCAATTTTAATTTTTTTATTTTTTAGAAAAAGGATTATAAGAGCTATTTGATGTCTTCTACGTTAAAAATAAAGGACTTATCGAAGAAAAACGAAGGATTCTACACTTGTACCTTCTCCTGGATGGGGTTGGCTCCGATCGAATCAAAAGCTTACTTAAAAGTCGTTCCCTTAATAAACGAAAATTTAACTATGCTCAATCAAATTGTTGACGATAACAGCAATGAAGTGCCAAAAAAGACCGACGTTGATGAACCGTTTTGCCAAAGTTACACAGGACCGACTTGCCAATTTTATTTAGGGAATCAATATGTTTTTGTGCAACCTCCTCATACTTTGCAAAGTATTGAAGAAAGTTTAAAAGCGGCGTATCTTGTTGTATCACAATCTAAGTAAGTAACTTATAGAATTATTTATTATTAATTTCTTTTAATTTATTTATTTTTAGTGACATTTCAGTGGAGTGCTCAAAATTCGTTTTACCTAGCTTATGTTATTCAGCATTCCCTTTATGCAAAAACACCGAGATGATTCACCTTTACCAACAGAAACTAATCAAGCGATTTCAACAAAACCAAACCCAAACCGACTCATTAAAAATAATCAGGCCCCAATTGGCGGTTTATTTACAACGAATTTGCAAAGACGAATGCGTCATTTTAGAAACGGAACTTTGCAACCGCGAGTACGCCATCGCAAAGCGACATCCGATCATAAGCAAAGTCCTCGATTTAGAAGAATGCGAGAATTTACCCAATGAAAGCGAAAAACACGCTTCGGAGTGTTTAAAATTAGGGATTGACGGGAGGAACATCGATGAGAGTGAGACGTGTTATTGGGGGAATGGTGCTGAATATCGCGGGGTTCATGATGTGACGAAAGATGGGGTTAAATGTAAAAGGTGGGCGCATCAATTTGAAGTTCCAATTTCGAAGTATCCAGAGTTGTTGGGGCACTCTTACTGTAGAAATCCGGGTTCACTTGAAAAAGAACCGTTTTGTTACATAGAACAGACAAAAAAGGAACCTTGTGGGTTAAAAAAATGCTGTGAGTCCCAAATAATTGTGTCACTAATTCAAATTAATACATTAATTTTTAGCTCATCTATTAACAGTGTATATAATGGGCGGGTTAGGCTCCCTTATCCTAATATTATCCATATTAACGTGGTTATATTGGTTTAAAAAGAGAAATAAGACTAGAAATATTCAAAACGTAATTATTTTTTTGTTTTGATTATAATTATTTAATTTAATTATTTTTAGATGAACATTCCTTCCGCGGATAAAAACATTTACGGAAACGGGGGTCCAAATTCCCCCATTGAATTAAACACCCTCCTTTTACCATCAAGTGGAACCTCTGGGGGGCGAAACCCCAATAAAAATTCGTACCAAAACATCCCTAATTTCACCCATAAAGAAGTGAATTTCATCGAGGAACTCGGCGAAGGCGCTTTTGGGAAGGTTTACAAAGGTGAGTTAAAAACTAAAACCGGAAAAATCTTCGTCGCGGTTAAATCGTTGAAAGAAAACGCCTCCGCGAAAACCCAAGCCGATTTTCAACGCGAAATCGAATTAATTTCGGAATTAAAACACCCGAATATAATTTGTTTGTTGGGAATCGTCGTTAAACAAGAACCTTTTTGTATGTTATTCGAGTACATGTCTGAAGGTGATTTGCACGAATTTTTAATCGCGAATTCTCCGGTACAACAAAAATCGTTGAATCAAACTCAATTTTTACACATATCAATTCAAATTGCTCAAGGAATGGAGTATTTATCCGATAATCATTATGTTCATCGCGACCTCGCGGCGCGAAATTGTTTAGTTTCGAACGATTTAATCGTGAAAATATCAGATTTTGGTTTAAGCCGCGATATGTATTCGTGCGATTATTACCGCGTTCAATCTAAATCGTTACTTCCGGTACGTTGGATGCCTCCAGAATCGATTTTATACGGAAAATTCACCACAGAAAGTGATGTTTGGTCGTACGGGGTTGTTTTATGGGAAATTTATAGTTACGGGCTTCAACCTTATTATGGTTATAATAACCAAGAAGTGATTAGTATGATTCGATCGAGGAAATTATTACCTTGCCCCGATTCGTGTCCCAGTTATTGTTATTCTTTGATGGTTGAGTGTTGGGCGGAATTAGCGATTAGGAGGCCGAGTTTTGGGGAAATTGGGCATCGATTAAAAGTGTGGAAACGTTCCGAAATGAACGGGGAAAAATCGCAATCGAAATCGCAACCCGGTTTAAATCTTTTAAGTCATTTCGAAACGAATTCGGTTTGTCCACTTTTTGAGAATCAAAACGATCCGAGTTTAACCTGGGAAAGAAATTTAAAAAAAAATGTTCCGAAATTAAGTGAAAGCCAAAGTAGTTTGATGTCGCGGGCTTCGAATAACGCGAAATTATCTCACGGGCGTAGTTTGGATAGGAATCCTTCGAGGGGGGCGATTCCGTTGGGGCTCGTCGTTAGTACGAGTGGGGAAGGGAATGTTTTTACTAAGATAACGTGAATTGGCGGCTTTTTTATACTATAAATGTAATTTTTTGTATTTGTAAGATGTAATGTGTGATAAATCAATAATAAACGAATTAATTTAATTTAAACGTTTATCAGCGACATCTACAATTCAGTAGCGAAATTAATCCGTCAAAATAAAAACGTCAAATTTTACTTTTATTTTAATACTTTTAAAACCGACAAAATTATCCTCAAACATCCCAATTCCTTCGTTTTAAGGTCAATTTGAAGAATGGATGGGTTGCAGCTTAAATATAAGCAAGAATCGTTCTTGGAATCTTGGCCCGATTTACCTCAAATCTTTGTATTCGTCCCTTTTAAATACAACTGGGTAAGTAATAAATCTAATTTGGTATAAAAAAAGTTTTATTATAAGAAAAATCTATTTTATATACATTAATTGAACCGTAATTAATTCTATGATTCTCTCTTGAAATCATTATTAGTCCCATCTAGCGGCTATAACTCGTATTAAAAGTAAATTTGACATTTCAAAACCACCGGTTGCATTTCTTCCTAAATTTATCAAATTTAACGATAAAAAAGGCTTAATTGAACCGAAATGTTAATCGAAATACGTTTTTAAACGTCTAAGCTGTCTATTTAAAGTGCTATTAGGTACCGCGAAGTGATTTTTTCCTCCAAATTATTCAGTGAAGTTTGTTCAAAAATATAACCTAAATTTTATTACGTCAATTTTAAATTTAGTGATTTAAAAAAATTGGGGTGATTTGTTAAAACAACAAACCAGGCAAGTCGATTAATTTTAAATCAATAATTGATTTTACGATTTATTTATAATTAGTCTTTTAAAATTTTAATTAATCCTGTTTAAATCATTACTAGCTCCATCTAGCGGTTATAACCTGAATTAGTAATAAATTTGACATTTCAAAACCACTAGTTGCAACTCTCCTAAATTTATTAAAATTAACGATAAAAAAAGATTAATTGAACCGAAACGTTCCATTAATTTTAAGTCAATAATTAATTCTATGATTTATTTATAATTTGTCTTTTAAAATTTTAATTAATCTTCTTGAAATCGTTATTAGCCCCATCTAGCGGTTATAACACGTATTAATAGTAAATTTGACATTTCAAAACCACCGGTTTCATTTCTTCCTAAATTTATCAAATTTAGCAATAAGAAATGATTAGTTGAACCGAAATACGTTTTTAAACGTCTTAGCTGTATTGTTATTCGAAATCGCAACCCATAATTTTTTTGTATTTGTAATGTGTGATAAATTAATAATAATCGAATTAATTTAATTTAAACATTTATCAGCGACATCTACAATTCAATAGCGAAATTAATCTGTCAAAATAAAAACGTCAATTTTTAATTTTTACCCATTTTATACTTTTAAAACCGACTAAATTATCCTGAAACATCCCAATTCCTTCGTTTTAAGGTCAAATTGAAGAATGGAAGGGTTGCAGCTTAAATATAAACAAGAATCGTTCCCGGAATCTTGGCCAGATTTACCTCAAATCTTTGTATTCATCCCTTTTAAATACAACTTGGTAAGTAATAAATCTAATTTGGTATAAAAAAAGTTTTATTATAAGAAAAGAAAAATCTATTTTATATACATTAATTAAAATTATAGGTTAACAATACTTCCTTTTTGAAATTAATTTGTAAATTTATTGACTCATACAGATCGAATCTTACGTTTAAATCTTATATTTACTCTATACTTGGAAGGAAAAAAAACGTTTAAAACCGCTTTAAAAACTCCTCTGCGACAATTCTAGCTCTAGCATTAACAGATAACTTCATTTCAGAAATCTCCTTATCAATTTCCTCCATAAAATGAATCACAAAATCCACCAATTTGTGCTTATACATTTGTTCGGTGTGAAAATTGGTTATCAAAAAGCTTATATCATACCCCTCGATCGGTTTTCTTCTTAAAACGATAAAATTCTCCGCCCTCATCATCATAAATCGCATGAATTTCTTACACAGAATCTTCTCGATTTCGTCCGCTTGTTTCACCGCGATACTAATTCTAATAGAATTAATTGACGTTTCAATTAAAACCTTTTCTTTTTCGTTGCGCGATATCACAACGGGCGTTAAAAGCAATTCTTTGCTCGTTCTAACCTCAACTTCCGGCTTGTTGTGTCTCTCAACGACTTGGGATGAAAAATTTTCCAAACACATAGCCGCCGTTAACGTATGTCTCACCGCGTTTAAATACGGCCTTAATGTTGCCGACATTATTAATTAATGGTTTTTAATTAATTAACGAGGAAAAAAAACCACTCCCTATCAAAACACTCAACCGATTTAGAGTGACGTTTAGGACATAACCTAAAATTTGAATGTCGGTAATGTAGGGATTTTTAAATTTTTTTTTGTTGGATAGATTTTAAAATTTGATTTTTAATTAATTTAATTATATTATACTCTATTTTTTTTTAATTAAAACTAGAACTAACACTAGACCGAGAACTAGAAATATTCGGGTTTAGCCGCACGTCTCTCAAGACGGCTAAACCCGAATGATTCTGGTTCTAGGTCTAGTGTTAGTTCTAGTTTTAGTTCAATAAAAATATTCAACGTAGTGATATTTTATGCAAACTAGTGTTTATTTTACTCCTCCGAATACAAAAATAGAATATAATATTAAAAATAAATTAAAAAAAAAAAATTTATTACTAAATCGATAGATGGCGCCTTAATGAACTAAATTTCCTTTGACAGTTAGTCAACCCAACCAACACAACCTAACCTAAAAATTTTCTTCGTCGATTTATGAGGAAAAATGGATAAATTGTCGGTGATAATGCGTTAAAAACGAAATAAAATCGCGATGTTTCGGTTAAAATCCCGTTTTTGAGTAAAAAGGTTGTGAAAATTGGTGTTAAATCGGTTGTGTTGAGATGAAGCCGAAATTAGTCGTAAATTCATTCCTTAAAAAAGAGGTTAGTTCTTTATAAACGATTAATATGAAATAATTTTCGGTGTTATATAACGTTATTTTCCAAACAAGATCATTTTAATTATTTTAACATAATTAAAATAAAAATAATTAATTTGAGGTTATGTTTTGATTTAAATGTCAAAAAAAAAAAAAAAATTTAATTTTTATTGCCTAGATTTATTTACTAGCGGATTAGACGTGGATTTTAGACGTATAGTCGATTTTATCTTATCAGTTTGGTTGTATTTTTACAATTATAGTGTTTGCCAAAGCTGATAAAAAGTTCAAATTCTGAAATTAAGAAAAACATTTTCTGTTTTTCGTTTCAGAACAAAAAGGGGGCCCAAATGATTCCGCTGTTGTTACTTTGCGTCCTTGGCTCAACATTTATATCTTTATGGACGTTGTTTCTTCATGATAATGAGGAAAGGGTCTCCGTTAAAACTGGATTATTATTATCGCTTTATGGAGGAGTTTTCTTCACGTGTTTGTACTCGCTAATTAATAATGTTGTTCAAAGAACGAACGTTGGGTATAAATTCGCTAAAAAATATAAGTTATCACCTTCCGATGTTTTGGATACCAGTAATAAGTGAGTTAATTTCTTCAAAATTGATTTATTCTATTAATTCATTTTATTTTTTTCTTTTAGAATCGTTTCTGCAGTCCAAGCGTTATTATCATGCGCAACGGGAGTAACAATAGTGTGTTATTCTTGTCCAAGGAATTTATTAAAAACTTCTCATTTTATTTCGGAGGGATATGCTTGGTTTGGAGCTTCGTACTTTTTGTACGACATATGGAGCATGTATCAGGTTCATTGCCACGCTAATTTGTACTCTGGGGTTGGTCCCCAACAAAACGGAGATCTAAAACGTCGAAAAATCGAGGTTAATAATCGCTTTACGACTTATGTGAGAAATAATCCGATTATTGTGGGTCATCATTTATTTATTGGGCTGTTTGGATTTTCCGTTATCGTGGTAATTATCTTTTTTATCTTATGATTAATTTTAAATCATTAATTCATTTTTATTAATCCTATTTAAATCATTACTAACTCCATCTAGTGGTTATTAAAGAATTAATGGTAAATTTGACATTTTGAAAACTAAATTTAACAAAATTAACGATAAAAAAGGATTAATTGAACTGAAACTTTCGATTAATTTTATGTCAATAATTAATTCTACGATTTATTTATAATTTGTTTTTTAAAATTTTAATTAATCATCTTTAAATCATTACTAGCTCCATCTAGCGGTTTTAATTCGTAGTAATAGTAAATTTGACATTTCAAAACCACCGGTTGCATTTCTTCCTAAATTTATCAAATTTAACGATAAGAAATGATTAATTGAACCGAAATGTTAATCGAAATACGTTTTTAAACGCCCAAACTGTGTATTTAAAGTGATATTAGATACCGCGTAGTGATTTTTTCCATCCAAATTATTCAGTGAAGTTTGTTCAAAAATATAACCTAAATCTTGTTACGTCAATTTTAAATTTAGTGATTTAAGAAAATTGGGGTGATTTGTTAAAACAACAAGCCAGGCAAGTCGATTAATTTTAAATCAATAATTGATTCTACGATTTATTTATAATTAGTCTTTTAAAATATTAATTAATCCTATTTTAATCATAACTAACTCCATCTAGCGGTTATAACCCGAATTACTAGTAAATTTGACATTTCAAAACCACAAGTTGCAACTTTCCTAAATTTATCAACTTTAACGATAAAAAAGATTAATTGAACCGAAACGTTCGATTAATTTTAAGTCAATAATTAATTCTATAATTTATTTATAATTATTCTTCTTAAAATCATTAATAGCCCCATCTAGCGGTTATAACACGTATTAATAGTAATTTGACATTTCAAAAATCTCCTTTTTATTAACAAATTTATTTTTTAGTATCTTCGAGGTGGATTAGGAGATTGCGTCTTTGGTTATGTTTATTTAATGGAAGCCTCAACACCTTTTGTCTCTCTTCGAGGGATTTTATCTCGCCTTGGCTTAAAAGAATCAAAATTTTACGTCGTAAATGGTTTGCTAATGTTGTTGGTGTTCTTCCTGTGTCGCATCGTAATGTTCCCTTACGTCATGTATTTGTATTCTTTGGCTTCCGGCTTAGATTATTTATCAGCAATTGCTTCATTACCTCGTGGTTGTAAAATTACCATGTCCATATTGGTTTTGCCCCAAGCGTATTGGTTCTATTTGATGATTAGAGGAGCTTCGAAAGTATTGAATCCAAAATCGACGGGGACTTCGACGATATCGAATCGGAAGAAGAAAAATTCTTTAGTGAGTTGTGCGAATTCTTAGGGAATTGATTTTATTGGAAAAGAAAGGTGGGGATTAAAATTTTAATGTGATTTAAACTGATTTAATTTTTTTTTTAGCTTGCGATGGTAGCTAATTTTTTTTGTAATTAATTATTAAAAGTGATGTGTGTTTTAAGCGCAACAAAAAATAACCAATTATTAATTTTGATGTCATTTAAAAAATTCAATCTTTTTAAATGTTTAGCTTAAATTTTTTTTTAATTTAAAAAGTCAATGTGAATCGATGTGATTTTTCTCTATTTTTTTTTAAGATTATTTATGAAGATGTTTACAAAATAATATAAATGGATTTAAAAAGTAACTACGTACACCTAAATGTAAATAATTAATTAATTCTGTAGTATTTTTTTCTTATTTTTTTACTATTGAGAAATAAAAAGGAATAGATAACGTATCCACAGGGTGAGTAAAAGATATTATCTAAAAGAAAAAAAACATAAGACTTGTTTAAACCAGCATTTTTTTGCTTTTATTTAACTTTTTTTTTGCTATTAATTATTTTCTTTAATCTAATTTTAATCGTCGCACACCTAGTCATGGTCGTAGGTGATAATAAATAATAATTAAACGAATTCATTCCTACAAATTGTAAAAAATCGAACGGTTTTTTCATTATTTAAATATTACGTTTATTTTTTTGTTGATGTTAATTGAGGTTATGTCATTACACATATAGCAACATTTGTCTATGGCATAACCTCAATTATTTATTTATAACCTGAACTGTATGTAATAATAAAATTTAAAAAAACGTAGACTTTTAGTGCTTTCAATTAAAAGAAAATTGAAAATCCATACTTTATTTATTTATAATTTCTGCATTATAAATAATTACTATCGCCACCTATCGGTTGTAACCCATATTAATCGTGAATTTGACATTTAAAAACCACCGGTTGCATTTCGTCTTAAATTTATCAAATTTTACGAAAAGAAAAGATTAATTAAGCCGAAATGTTAATTGAAATATGTTTTTAAATGTCTAAGCTGTCTATTCAAAGTGATATTAGACTTCGCGAAGTGATTTTTTCGTTCCAAATTATTCAGTGAAGTTTGTTCGAAGAATATAACCTAAATCTTATTACGTCAATTTTCAATTTAGTGATTTATCGATTTAAGAGAATTGTTAAAACAACAAGCCAGGTAAGTGGATTATTTTTAAATCATCAATTGATTCTACGGTTTATTTATAATTAGTCTTTTAAAATTTTAATTAATTCTCTTTAAATCATTGCTAATCCCATCTGGCGGTTATAATCCGTATTAATAGTATAACATTTCAAAATCACTGCTTACTTTTTTCCTAAACTTATCATATTTAACGATAAAAAAAGACTAATTGAACCGAAACGTTCGATTAATTTTAAATCCGCAATTAATTCTATGATTTATTTATGATTAGACTTTTAAAATTTAAGAAAAATCCTCTAAATAATCACTATTTCCATCTAGCGGTTATAACCGGAATTACTAGTAAATTTGATTTTTTTAAATTTTTTACTTTTTTTTATTAAATTTAAACAAATAAAACAACAAACCAAGTAAGTCGATTAATTTTAAATCATTAATTATATAATTTATTTCTATCCTTCAAACATTAAATATATCCTTTTTAAATCATTACTAACCCCATCTAGCGGTTATAACCCGTATTAATAGTAAATTTGACATTTCAAAACCACCGGTTGCATTTCTTCCTAAATTTATCAAATTTAACGATAAGACAATATTAATTAAGTCGAAACGTTAATCGAAATACGTTTTTAAACGCCCAAACTGTGTATTTAAAGTGATATTAGATTCCGCGAAGTGATTTTTTCCGTCCAAATTATTCAGTGAAGTTTCATCGGAAAATATAACCTAAATCTTAATACGTCAATTTTACACTTAAGGACTTAAAACGAAAATATAGTAAGTCGGTTTTATTAATTATCAATTAATTCCATAACTCGGATTTAATTAATAAATAATTCCTTAAAAAAATCAAAATTTTAAACATACCAGTGTCATCTAGTGAACAATAGCGGTACTAAAAATTCACTTAATATGCAAAATTTGCATCCGTTACTTGTTACTCCAACTTTACGCTTTAAGTAAGTATTAAATAAGCAAGAAAATCGCGCGAAGAACACTTTTTCGTAGTATCAAGGTAAGAAAATTTTAATGTTTATAATTTTTTTATAAAAAAACTTGACAACTAAAATGCTGTCAAAAGAAATGTCAAATTTATAAAATGTCAGAAATCACCAAATTTACTAAAAATCGCGATTGAATTGGTTTTGCTGTTTAATATTATTAATAAATTAACTTTTCCACTTTTCAAATTTGGTTAAAAATCGGTCATTTTTAGATTTAGCATTGGATTAGTGTGTTTGTAAAAAATGATTTCTTTTTTATCAACATTTCATGTCATCATGACAATTCGAATTTAAATTAAATCCTCTTCTTCGCTTTCATCTCGCTTCTTTCTTTTCGCCCACCGGAAAAATGTTTAGTGCTACAACACATTTGAATCGAGGTGTAAGTTCTAAAGCGATTTATTAAGAATTATTCTCAATTTGAATTGTAGGGTTATGGTAGCATAAGGAAAACATTTCGATTTTATAGTAAAGATAACAAAAGGAAACGAAGTAAAGCATATCCACCTCCTTTACCACAATATGAACCACCAAAACGATTAAGAAGAATGTCTCGAATTTGCCCCCCTTTACCACAAGCACATCCGCCACCTAAAGCACCCAGCACGGGGCTTGGAGCAACATTAGTGGGGTTGGCGTTAATAAGTTGGGGTGTAATAGCTTTTGCAAAATACAATTCTAATTTCCGCGAGACACTCAACGAAAAGATTCCGTTCACCGATGACCTCGTAAAGTTACTTTATGAGGAAGAAAAATCTTTCGTCGATAATATTCGTGATTTTTTTGATAAGTTTTGGTGAAATATAATTGATTTATGTCATTTTAATCGTTATGTCATCGTGAATTCGGGTTCGGTTCGTGTTTTATGTTAACATTGTGTTGTTTTAGCTCGCGGAATCATGTTTAGGATTGTTAGTTCATCCGCAACGCATTTTAACCAAGGAGTAAGCAGCTACATTTAATTTTTTTTTGACTAAAAAAGTTAAATTTTAGAATTTTAGTAGCGGAAATGGAATGATCTATAAAAATGTGCAATGTTATAGTAAAGAATGTCAAAGAAGGAGGGGTAAACCAACGATTTGTCAATCTTTTTCGCGGTCTGAATCACCAAATCAAGTTAAAAAGATAACATGTCGAGGTAGAGGTTCGTCCCGGCTTTGTCCACCTTTACCAGAAGCTTCTCCACCTCCGAAAGCACCAAGTACAGGGCTTGGAATGACGATTATAGCGCTTATATTAATCATGGGTGGAGTGATTGCTTACGCGAAACAAAATCCGCAGTTTCGGGATGATCTCAATGAGTATTTTCCGATTAGTGATGAAATAATAAAGGTGGTTTTTGAGGAGGAAAAATCTTACATGGAGAGTATCCACCAATACATAGATTCCTTAAAAGGAGAGTAATACATAGATAAATGTAACATTTATATTAAAAAAATCAAAAACATTCTTTTTTTTGAGGTTAGAAAAAATTAACTCTTAAAATTAAACCCTAATTTTTTCAATTCAACTCGAGCTTCGCCGATTTCCTTACGAAGCTCCTCGACGGCTTCTTCGCAATCATTAAAAGTGAACGTTCTGTACAAAACGACGGAGGCTGCATAAAACTGAAATTGAAACGTTATTTTTTTGTAGCGGATGAGGTTAATTAACTTACGGCGAATATAAACGCGGCTATAACTGGTGATATCAAAACTATGTTGTAATCTAGGTTATTTTCTATCTTTTGGGTTATTAATCCGTACCAAATTCCACCTAAAATAGCCAAAACGGCTAACCATTCCATTAATTTCGTCATTAGAATTTTTTTTGAGGTTATGTTTTGATGTGTCAAATTTTTTTTTAGTGACTTTTATTTTATGGGTTAGTAAGTAACTAACTTCAATCGGGTTTAGTTGTGTGAAGAGATTTGTTAAAAATATTATTAGAAATAATTAATTAATTAATTATTTTCAAGTTTAATTGTTTAATAAGGTTGGAATAATTTTATTGGTGTAATTAAGATAATAATTTAAAAGGTGAGGTTAAAAAATTTTTTTTGACAGGTGACATAACCTAAAAAAAAATTTATTATTTTTAAGATAGATTAAGTTAAAATAACGATGCCGCAAGATCAGGTGGGATCGCAACGTTTAACAAACGATGATTTTCGCAAATTATTGATGACGCCGCGCGCGACTCCGAGTCATGCAGCACCCGCTCCTGGATCCATTCGGGAAGCGATGGCTAATTCGAAAATGTTACCCCCGAAAGATGACCGTTTCGAGGAGCGTCGCAAAAAGAAAAGCTTTTACGCCAAATTAAAAAAGCAAGAAGATACTAAAATGGCTGAATTAGCTGAGAAATACCGCGACCGAGCCAGCGAACGCCGCCAAGGTGTTAACCCGGATTACCAAACCGATGACCCCATGAACACCGCGCAAGCATATCGAGCAGTGGCCCCCGATTTAAAATCGGGATTTGACGCCGCCGAAAGGCGCAGACAAATGATTCAAGAATCAAAGTTCTTGGGGGGCGACATGGAGCACACTCATTTAGTAAAGGGGTTAGATTACGCGTTATTACAAAAAGTGAGGTCAGAAATCCAACATAAAGAACAAGAACAAGAAGCGGAGATGGAAAGAATCGCGAATAAAACGTTAGAGGAGAAAGAAAAAAGCAAAAAAGAGGTCGTCGAAGATGAAATGCAATTTAAAACTAAAATAGGGCGCTCAATTTACCACACCGTGTGTTTATTAAAATCGAGACACATCGAAAAATCCGAGCTTTTTATCCCTGGAAGGATGGCCTACGTTATTGATTTAGACGATGACGCTGAAACGGACGTTCCGGTGACCTTAATAAGATCAAGGGCGGATGTCCCCGCTTTAGAATCAACAACAACTTTATCAACGAACGATATCGTTATAAACAAATTAACCCAAATTCTAAGTTATTTAAGACAAGGTAATCGAAAAGGAAAAAAGGGTAAAAAAGTCGAATCGAAAGATCTCGATTTAGAGAAGCGTTTAAATCTGAATCAATCGAACCCGAACACATCGTCGTTTCGAGACGATTCGATTTACGGCGATATCGGTGATTACATCCCGACTGCGAGTTCTTCGACGTCAAAGCGTTCTGATAAGCAGCAAAATCAGAAAAAAAATCACCCCTATTTTGAGAAAAACGACGAAGATGAAACCGATAAGATATCGGGGCCGAATTTAAAATTGAATAAATCAGCGCAAATTTTGAATCGCCTAGCGCAGGAACCTGAGGGATATGCTGAGTGTTATCCGGGGTTGGAAGAAATGAACGATGCGATTGATGATTCCGATGATGAGGTGGATTATTCAAAAATGGATTTGGGGAATAAAAAGGGGCCGATTGGGCGGTGGGATTTTGATACGGCTGAGGAGTACTCGGATTATATGAATCAAAAGGAGGCATTGCCAAAGGCTGCTTTTCAATACGGGGTTAAAATGGCTGATGGGAGGAGATCGAGGAAGCATAAGGATAAGAATGAGAAGGCGCATTTAGATCGGGAGTGGCAAAAGATTCAAAATATTATTCATAAGCCGCCTGAAAGTAAACGGGCCAAATATTAGATTGATTAATTTTAAGTCAACAATTAATTCTAGGATTCTCCTATTTAAATAATTACTCCATCTAGCGGTTATAACCTGAATTGATAGTAAATTTGGCATTTAGAACCCATCCCTTACATTTTTTCCCAAAATTATTAAATTTAAACAAATAACAATTAAAACAACAAAATCGATTAATTTTAAATCATTAATTATATAATTTATTTCTATTTTTCAAACATTAAATAAATTCTCTTTAAATGATTATTAACCCCATCTAGCAATGATAGCCCGTATTAATAGTAAATTTGACATTTCAAATCCACCGGTTGAATTTCTTCCTAAATTTATCAAATTTAAAGATTAATTGAACCGAAACGTTAATCGAAATATGTTTTTAAACCCCCAAACTCTGTATTTAAAGTGATATTAGATTTCGCGAAGTGATTCTTTCCGTTCAAATTATACAGTGAAGTTTGTTTCAAAAATATAACCTAAATCTTATTACGTCTATTTTAAATTTAGTGATTTAAGAAATTTGGAGTGATTTGTTAAAACAACTAACCAAGTAAGTCGATTTTGATTCTACAACTTATTTAAAATTTGTCTTGAAATTTTAATAAATCCTCTTTAAATAATTAAGCTCCATCTATCGGTTAATAACCTCAATTAATAATAAATTTGACATTTCAAAACCGCCAGTTGCAATTTTCATAAATTTATCAAATTTAGCGATAAAAAAAATTAATTGAACCCAAACGTTCGATTAATTATAAGCCAACAATTAATTCTACAATTTATAATTAATCTTCTAAAATTTTAATTAATCCTCTTTAAGTCATTACTAACCCCATCTAGCGGTTATAGCCCGTATTAATAGTAAATTTGACATTTCAAAACCACCGGTTGCATTTCTTTCTAAATTTATCAAATTTAACGATAAGAAAAGATTAATTGAACCGAAACGTTCATCGAAATACGTTTTTAAACGCCCAATATGTGTATTTAAAGTGATATTAGATTCCGCGAAGTGATTTTTTCCTTCTAAATTATTCAGTGAAGTTTGATCGAAGAATATAACCTAAATCTTACGTCAATTTTAAATTGTGTGATTTAATAAAACAACAAACCAAGTAAGTCGATTAATTTTAAGTCAATAATTGATTCTACGATTTATTCAAAATTTGTCTTGAAATTTTAATAAATCCTCTTTAAATAATTGCTAGCTCCATCTAGCGGCTATAACCTGAATTAATAGTAAATTTGACATTTCAAAACTATCAGTTGCAATTTTCTTAAATTTATCAAATTTAACGATAAAAAAAAAATTAATTGAACCCAAACGTTCGATTAATTTTAAACCAACAATTAATTCTACGATTTATTTATAATTAATCTTTTAAAATTATAATTAATCCTCTTTAAATCATTACTAACTCCATCTAGCGGTTATAGCCCGTATTAATAGTAAATTTGACATTTCAAAACCACCGGTTGATTTCTTCCTAAATTTATCAAATTTGACGATAAAGAAAGATTAATTGAACCGAAACGTTCATCGAAATACGTTTTTCAACGTCCAAACTGTGTATTTAAAGTGATATTAGATTCCGCGAAGTGATTTTTTCCGTCCAAATTATTCAGTGAAGTTTTATCAGAAAATATAACCTAAATCTTATTACGTCAATTTTAAATTTAAAACGAAAATATAGTAAGTCGGTTTTATTAATTATCAATTAATTCCATAACTTGGATTTAATTAATAAATAATTCGTTAAAAAAATCAAAATTTTCCGGCTAATTTTAAACATACGAGTGTCATCTAGTGGGCAATAGCGGTACTAAAAATCACACTGAATTTGTATCCTTTACTTCGTACTCCAACTTTACGCCTCAAATAGGTATTAAATAAACAGGAAAATCTCGCGAAGAACGCTTTTTCGTAGTATCAAGGTAAGAAAATTTTAATGTTAATTTTTTTATAAAAAAAACTTTTGACAACCAAAGTGCTGTCAAATGAAATGTCAAATTTATAAAATATCAATAATGTACCAAAAAATCGCGATTGAAATGGTTTTGCTGTTTAATATTATTAATATATTAACTTTTCCACTTTCCAAATTTGGTTAGAAATAGATCCTTTTTAGATTCAGCATTGGATTAGTGCTTGTAAAAGAAGATTTCTTTTTTATCAACATTTTATGTCATGACGCATTTCAATCAAGGTGTAATTGTAGGGTTATGATATTAAAATATTAAATTGATTATATTTATTTAAATGATTATAAAATATCAAAAAATACAGATCACCCAAGTATAATACTTCCAACAACATCATTTAAACCAAAATAAAAAATACTAACATTATTAATCATTAATAATAATAATACAGATCTATTTGCCCCAACACAATACTAAGAAACATCTTTACAAAAAGTTAGAAAGAATATAAAAAATTGGGACGATAAATGCACTTTTAGTCATAGTTGTACCAACAAGACAAGCGAAAATGTACCAAATAATTGATAAAATCCCAGCTTGGAGAGTTAAATGCAACACCATTAACCTACAAATAAAAAGAATTAAAACAAAATTAAGAATTAAATAAAAAACTTACAAAGTATCTTTTCCTTTAGCAGCGGCTAAATTCCTCATCGGCTCCTTACTCAAATAAATCCTCGCACCTTTAGTTAAATCGTTGAAATAATCGGGCCAATACAATTCTTTCAAGTCCAAACCAAAATCTCTTTGATCGGCGGGGTTCAACCATTGATGGAGCGTTGAAGTTCGATCGGCTTTAAACGCCCACTCGGTGAAAATGAATTTTTCCAAACGGTTTAATGAAGCGTTTACGTTTCTGTGTAATCTCATTAAACTGAAACAAAAATGGAATTAAATTAAAAACGATTTTTCAGCCAATATAATGGAGCACTGATTGATGAATTGTATAAGATTTGCATAACCAAGGCAGATGATGAGTTGGAGGATTTGAACTTATTATAGTATAAAGATTAAAAAGGTTAATAATATGATAATTAAAAAAATACAGTTAGTCCAAAAGCTGCGTGATAGGAAGCTCATCTATGTTGGAACTCTCAGGAAAAATAAACGAGAAAATCCAAAAGAGATTTTGCCCTGTAGAAAAAGAAAACAAAAAAGGGTTCCTCTTGATTGAATGTTGCATTAGAATATCGTACAAGCTGCAGAACAGTATTTTGAACAATAATTTGATCGTCGCCAATCGTCTCTAAATACTTTTAAAAAGCTGTATGATAATTTGGACGAGCATGGTTCTGTTTGTAAACCAATTAAGGATGCAAGAGGCGTTAATGAAGAAATTGTCTCTATATCTCCGCTAGTTTTCGAAATCTCCATACTAAATATGGAAAAAAAGCTCATCCTGTATAGCACATCGCGCCTAATCCAGAAATGGTTGATATCTCTACAGTCAACGCTTTTCTAATGTATAATTCATGTAAAAATATAGAACAAATCGAAAGACAAGAATTTATGAAAATTTTGGCAATATCCCTTGTAAAGCCCCACATGGAAAGAAGATTTTAAAATTCTAAGATGAATAGAGAGATCTTAAAATGGCTGTTCCTAAAATTTGTTCTAATAGTAAATTTTATTTAGAAACTTTTATCACTCTGTAAAGATAAAATTGATTTCAATAATAGCACTAAAATTTTATGCTTTTTTTGGTTATGTATTTTTTTTGACAATGACGTTTTATGATGGTCGGTAAAGAAGAGAATTTTAATGAATTATTTATGCTAAATTAGCATAATTGAGGTATTTAACTCAAATATTTTATAATTTAGGTCTTTTAACTTAATTATTTTATAATCTAGTAAGATTTTTCGTTAAAAATTGGCATAATTCGCGTTTTTATAAATTAAATAAATAATTGACAATTTAAGTTTGACACTTTGGTTACGATTTCCAATCTTATATATTAATTTATAGTTAAATTATGAATTAATTATAATTACCTTAAACATTTATGAGTACAGGCTATACAGCTATTCCTAAAATTTCTTTGCTCAAAACTTTTTTATTCTATCATAACCCTACATTTATTCTTGCAGTTTCTAATAGTAAATTTAGTTTAGAAACTTTTATCACTCTATAAAAATAATATTGATAAAAATAACCGCTTTCTAAATGTAAAAATGTTGGGTTCCGATTTCAATAATAGCACTAAAATTTTACGCTTTTTTTTGATTGTATTTCTTTTGACAATGACGTTTTATGATCGTCGGTAAAGAAGAAAATTTTAATGAATTATTTATGCTAAATTAGCATAATTGAGGTATTTAACTCAAACATTTTATAATTTAAGTGTTTTAACTTAATTATTTTATAATCTAGTAAGATATCATTAAAAATTGGCATAATTCTCGTTTTTATAAATTAAATAATGTCGAAGTTAAATTGACAATTTAACTTTGACATTTTGGTTAGGATTTTCAATCTTATATATTAATTTATAGTTAAATTATGAATTAATCAATTATAATTATCTTAAATATCTATGAGTACAGGCTATACAGCTGTTCCTAAAATTTCTTTGCTCAGAACTTTTTTATTCTCTCATAAATCATAACCATATATTTATTTTTGCAGTTTCTAATAGTAAATTTAGTTTGGAAACTTTTATCACTCTATAAAGATAATATTGATAAAAAATCACCGTTTTCTAAATGCAAAAATGTTGTGTTCCGATTTCAATAGCATTAAAATTTTACGCTTTTTTTTTTGACAATGACATTTCATGATGGTCGGTAAAGAAGAGAATTTTAATCAATTATTTAAGCTAAATTCGCATAATTGACGTATTTAACTCAATTATTTTATAATTTAGGTGTTTTAACTTAATTAATTTATAACCTAGATTTGCGTAAATTGGCATAATTCGCGGTTTTATAAATTAAATAAATAATTGACAATTTAACTTTGACACTTTGGTGAAGGTTGGTAATCACCTTATATATTAATTTATAGTCATTTTATAGTTCAATTATGAATTATTTAATTATAATTAGTTAAATCTCACGTCAGTGGTTAAAGCCTAACATGGAAAGAAGATTTTAAAATCCTAAGATGAAACAGCCTCCTCTAGAACCGATATAAATCAACGTCACGTAAAATTGCTTGCAGTTTTTTCTAATAATAAATTTAGTTTACAAACTTTTATCACTCTGTAAAGATAATATTGATAAAAATCACCGTTTTTGTGTTAAATACAAAAAAGTTGGGTTAATTTTAATAATAGCACTCAAATTTTACGCTTTTTTTGGTTATGTATTTTTTTTTTTGACAATGACGTTTTATGATGGTCGGTAAAGAAGAAAATTTCGATGAATTATTTATGCTAAATTAGTATAATTGACGTATTTAACACAATTATTTTATAATTTCGGTGTTTTAACTTAATTATTTTATAATTTAGCAAGATTTACGTAAAAAATTGACATTTTTTGGTTATGTACTTTCTTTTGACAATGACGTTTTATAATGGTCGATAAAGAAGAAAATTTCGATGAATTATTTATGCTAAATTGAGGTATTTAACGCAATTATTTTATAATTTCGGTGTTTTGACTTAATTATTTTATAACCTAGCAAGATTTGCGTAAAAAATTGGCATAATCCGCGTTTTTATAAATTAAATAAATTGACAATTTAAAATTTTACGCATTTTTTGGTTAAGTACTTTCTTTTGACAATGACGTTTTATGATGGTCGGTCAAGAAGAAAATTTTGATGAATTATTTATGCTAAATTGAGACATTTAACGCAATTATTTTATAATTTCGGTGTTTTAACTTAATTATTTTATGATCTAGCAAGATTTGCGTAAAAAATTGGCATAATTCGCGTTTTTATAAATTAAATAAATTGACAATTTAAAATTTTACGCATTTTTTGGTTAAGTACTTTCTTTTGACAATGACGTTTTATAATGGTCGATAAAGAAGAAAATTTCGATGAATTATTTATGCTAAATTAGCATAATTAAAGTATTAAACTCAATTATTTTATAATTTAATCATTTTAACTTAATTATTTTATAACCTAGCAAGATTTGCGTAAAAAATTCGCATAATTCTCGTTTTTCTAAATTAAATAAATACTTGGCAATTTAACTTTGACACTTTGGTTAGGATTTCCAATTAATTTATAATTAAATTATGAATTAATTATAATTAGTTAACTTACATTGGTCTGCCCCCAAAGATTTTTGTAACAGTATCCAAGATAATAGCCGGTAAGAAATGGACGAAAATTGCGGAGATTTTAAACCAGGTTAGATTCGGTAAAAATTTTAAATGCGGGTACCAAACGGCCGATTTTAACGGATATTTATGGAGTAATCCATTGACGCGGTCTTCAACGGTAGCCCAACGGAATGGTTGTCGAGTGCTCGATGTGCAATGATAAATTTCGACGCTTTTTGATTTATTTTCTCCTGCGAAATACCCCGCGACGATTAATTCATTGACTACAACATCCACTGGGATGTAGTCATAAATTAGGTCTTTCCCAACAGGGAGGCGCCGCACCACGCCTTTTGAAGCACCCATTATAAAACCTTGTGGTCCATTTTTGCTTATGGTCCAACCGGGTATTGGTTCTTTCCATGCACCAACAACTACAACAAATTTAACTCATTAATTTGATTAATTTAATTAGTTAAAAAATACTTACTCATACTTGGCCTAACTATCGTACAAGGAAAAACCTCCTCCATCTTCTTAACTTCAAACTCAGCCATATGTTTAGTAATCGTATAAGTATTAGGGTGATTTCCTAATAACTCCGGGGTCATTTCCTCCAATTTTTCCGCCGAAACCGTCTCAGCTAACTCAATAAACTTCTCGGCGCTTTGCTCCAAGGGATAAAGAACTTCATCGGCGCTTAATTTCCAAGAATTAACGTACGCACTACTTACATGGATATAAACGCTTAAATTTCGACATTTTTTAGCTAATTCCAACACCCTCCTCGTCCCCAACAAATTAATATCGATGGTTGCTTTCAAAGTTTCTGCAAAATCCAACGTAGCCGCCGAATGAAAGATAACATTAACTTTTTCTGTAAGGATTTCTCGATCGGACTCCGAAATCCCTAAATCGATTTGACCCACATCTCCAGAAATCGCTTTTAATTTCGAAAAAATCGTGGCATCTTGAGATTCGAGGAGTTTTTCGAAAATCTTATTTTTCGAGATTTCTTCTAACCGTTCGGAGATTTCTTTCCCTTTTTTCGGGCGGAGTAATAAATAGATATCTCCAATATCAGGGATGGTTCTTAAAAGCTTCTCAATTAGGCAAATTCCCAAAAATCCTGTCCCTCCGGTGATGAAAACATTCTTTTTCGAGTAAAAATCTCTCACCGACATTTTCAATCTATCTAAAAAGTTAGGTTTACTTAAAACGGTCGTAAATAATTAACTTTTTTTTTATATAAACACGTCTCGGGCAATTTTTATGTAATTACACACCCAATAACGTCACTAAAAGTAAACAAGTCTCAAACCGGTTGAATTAAACAAATTTCTAGAAATTTCTAGAATCTTCACGGTTTAAAACGTAAATTCTTTTAATTGTGGACGATAAAATACAGTTAAAACGCAAAATAACTTAACGGGATTCACGGAAAAAGAAAAAAAAACATAACCTCACTTAAATTTAATTTTTGCGTTTTAATTGATGCGAATGGATTTTTTGATTTATTGGTGTTATTACCTTAAATAATCACTTTTGAGAGGTGTTTTCACCACTAAACGATTTAGAAAGCACTAAATAACCGGCTAAAACTTTCTGGTTATGTACTTTCTTGAGAATGACGTTTTATCGTTTTAACATGGCCGGTAAAGTAGAGAATTTTAACGAAATATTCATGCGAAATTAAAATAATTGAGGCTTTTAATTTAATTATTTTATAATTTACGGATTTGAGTTAATTATTTTATAATTTAGTAAGATTTGCGTTAAAAATTGGCTTAATTCGCGTTTTTATAAATTAAATATATATTTGACAGTTTAATTTTGACACTTTGGTTAGGATTGCCAACCTAATATATTAATTTATAAATTTTATTATACTCTATTTTTTCGAAAATTCGAGATGTTGCCGAAACAGTTAGGTTTAAAACCCGAATGATTTTAGTTCTAGTTCTTGTGTTAGTTGTAGTGACAGTGCTAGTCTAAAACTACAACTAACACTAGACCTAGAACTAGAAACATTCGGATTTAGCCGCACGTCTTAAAAGACGGCTAAACCCGAATGATTCTAGTTCTAGGTCTTATGTTAGTTCTTGTGATAGTTCTAGTTTTAGTTTCATAAAAATATACAAACATAATCATTTAGACAAGTTTTTAATAACACCAAATTAGTTTTTTGTAATTTTGAACGACTTGTAATAACTTTGGAGCAATTTTAAAACATTTAGACAAGTTTTAAATCATTTGAACAACTTTAGCTGCAGTTTTTAGTCGTTTTGAATAACTTGGAACTGTAATGCACCAGTTGCCAATAAGTTAGACAAGGTTTTAATCAATACCAATTGGCTCTTAATCACTTTGAACTGCTTTTTCAATTTGTAAATGATTTTGTTCAACTTTATATGCAGTTTTTAATTGTTTTGTACAATTTAGAACGGTAACGAACTAGTTCCTAATCATTTAGACAAGTTTACAATAACACCAAATTAGTTTTCAGTAATTTTGAACGAATTATGATAGCTTTGGAGCAACTTTAAAACATTTAGACAAGTTTTGAATCAATTTGAACAACTTTTTCATCTTGTAAATGAATTTTGATCAAGTTTAGATACAGTTTATAATTGTTTTATACAACCTGGAACGGTAACGAACTTGTTCCTAATCATTTAAACAAGTTTTCAATAACATCAAATTAGTTTTCAGTAATTTTGAAAAGCTTGTAATAGCTTTGGAGCAATTTTAAAACATTTAGACAAGCTTTAAATCATTACCAATGCGTTCTTTATCACTTAGAGGGCGTTCTTCCATGTTGTAAACGTGTTTTAAACAACTTGAAACTGTAATGTGTCAGTTCCTAATAAGTTAGACAACTTTTGGATCATTACCAACGCATTCTTAATAACTTTGGGCAACTTTTCCAAGTTGTAAACATGTTTTGAACAACTCTAAATACAGTTTTTGATCATTTTGAACAACTGGGAACTGTAATGTACCAGTTTCCAATAATTTAGACAAGCTTTTAAGCATTACCAATTGATTCTTCATCACTTTGAACAACTTATTCATCTTATAAATGAATTTTGATCAAGTTTAGATGCAGTTTATAATTGTTTTATACAACCTGGAACGGTAACGAACTTGTTCCTAATCATTTAGACAAGTTTTCAATAACACCAAATTAGTTTTCAGTAGTTTTGAACGACTTGTAATAGCTTTGGAGCAATTTTAAAACATTTAGACAAGTTTTGAATCACTACCAACGCGTTCTTTATAACTTTGAGCAACTTTTCCAAGTTGTAAACGTATTTTGAACAACTTTAAACACAGTTTTTAATCATTTTGAACAACTTGGAACTGTAATGTACCAGTTTCCAATAATTTAGACAAACTTTTAAGCATTATCAATTGATTCTTTATCACTTTGAACAACTTATTCATCTTGTAAATGAATTTTGATCAAGTTTAGATGCAATTTTTAATTGTTTTATACAACTTGGAACGGTAACGAACTTGTTGATAATCATTTAGACAAGTTTTCAATGACACCAAATTAGTTTTCAGTTATTTTGAACGACTTGTAATAGCTTTGGAGCAATTTTAGAACATTTAGACAAGTTTTGAATCATTACCAATGCGTTCTTAATCACTTTGAGCAATTTTTCCAAATTGTAACCGTGTTTTGAACAACTTTAGATACGGTTTTTAAGAATTTTGAACATCTTGGAACTGTAATGTACCAATAATTTAGACAAGTGGTCACATTTTAAAGGTATTTTAATGATACCTTTAATACGTCATGAAGTTGTATGGTCAACTTCCGGATAAAAATGTCAACCTCAATTTTGACATATTTGTAATCTTAATTAAAAATCCTTTAAAATGAGTACAAACACGACATATTTATCTTCAATAGTAATGAAGTTATGGTCAACTTCCGGTTAGAAATGTCAACCTCAGTTTTGACATATTTATAATCGTCGTGAAAAATCCTTTAAAATGAGCCCAAACATGACACGTTTAATTTCAATATTACTCGAGATATAAGCAACTTCCGGTTTGAAATGTCAATGTCATTTTGATATATTCTTAATTCTTATAAAATGTCTTAAAATTAGTCACAAAAATTGAAATATAATAAAAAAAAAATCAAAAATTAAGGTTGGTATTAATATTTAAAAATTAAATTGTTGCTAACTTCGGGTTTAATGTTTTTTTTTCTAACTTTTTGATTTTTGAGATAAGTGCGTCATGTTTGGACACATTTTAAAGGTTTTTTAATAAAGAATACGTCATGAAGTTATCCATTTGTCTATTTATGATAACTAACTTCAGGTGTAAAATGTCAACCTCAATTTTGTAAGTCGCGCTTTTATGCTTTTTTTTCTCAAAAATAAAATAAATGTAGTTGACAATGTAGGGAAATAGGTATGTAGCAGTTGGTGACACCGTAACACTGGAAAATAGAAATTTGAATTGACAATTAGAAACTGTCAAAATACAAAATGTATTCATCTGACAAAAATCTTTCATGTACACCTCCCAACATAAGAGAAATTGCTCAGTGTTCAATAAGAACGTGTTTAAACATCCATAGACAAACATCATTGTCACATTGACAACTAAAAAAATTGATCACCCAATGTCACCAACTTGAACTGGTTCCATAAAATGTTACTAAAATCTCATTATAGTATCGGGCGCTGTAAGGAGTCTCATTACAAAAAAATATGCAACATAATAGTTATTTATTATTAGTTTTTCTATTTTTAAATTATTTATTCAGAGAAATCGTTAGTTTTTTTTAAACTTAGGTTGGCAATGGAAAAAATTCGATTTTAAAATCGATATGATTTGAAGTTAGCCATCTCTACGTCAATTAACGAACTATATTAATCAATAACCAAGAAAAAACCAACTCAACATTTTTTTATTAATAAAATTTATTTAAATAAATGAACCTACAGTAGTAAATTGTTTCTTAAAAAAAGGATACACGGCCGTTGAGACTTGTTGTTTCATGGGAGCGACGTATTGTTATAAATTGAACTTGGGGGGCCCATTCTTATAGCCAGGGAATAACGCTTAAAATTCCCCAGGGGGGCGAAAATGAATCGAAATGAAATTGTTTATGGGGATACAAAAAAAGAAAATCATCAACTTGTCTTTAATTAGAAAAAAAAAAAACAATTCAAAATAATTAATAAAAAGAAGAATCATTTAAGGGTAATCGTTAATAAACAATTCATTAATGAGTTCTCCCGATTATTTTTTTTTAAATAAAAGGAGTAAAGAAAAAAAGTTTTTTCTAAATAAACACATAACCTCACTTTAGGATTCTTTCCTTCGCCTTTTTTTAAATTGATAAAACGACGCTGGTTTTTCAGTTTTTTTTTTAATAATTTTCTTATTTTTTTTTCAATTTGTTACTTTTTATAAACCTAGAGACGTGTTTTTTTGTTGTTTAATAATAATTAATATTTTTTTCAACTTTTAAAAATCGTTTGAAAATGATGGTTGTTGTTGCTTTCACTTCTTCGGGGGCACACCTCTACTAACACTCCTCTTGGGACTTCCGCACGCACCTGGCAACCTTCCTCTTGAACTCCGCGTACGATTCACGCCACTCTTTAGCCGCGTCCACGTTTGCCGGCGATTCGTCGTTCGGATCGGCGAGCATCGAAATGACCGATATCAGGATTGTCTCTACCGTGTGCACCGGAAGCCACCTTTCTGATGCCTTCTCATAACCGAACTTATCATCACCAGGTTCGTGTAATATCGAAATGCATACATCTCCGTTTTTATCGACTAAAAAAAAAAAAATCGATTAATTTAGACCCTTTATGATAAATTTAAGATAATTACTGTTTGGGTGCCAAATTTCGGTAACGAATTTCATCTTGGGCGGCCGTAAAGGATATTCCTTTGGAAAGTGGAGATGGCACTTGAAAAAACCACCCTCGCTATACAACAAATTAGAAAAAAAAAATTAACATAACCTCACTTTTTGTATCACACGATTTTTTTTTGTTGGTTAACTTACTATAAAGTGTCAGGCGGTCCAATAATGAGCACCTCCCACCTATAAATATCATTGTCGTCTATAAGTCCAGCAGAGAAGCCCTCAACCGGGTTCTTGTTTAGTTCTGCAAAAAAAAAATAACCTTAAAAAACCGATCGTTTCGTTTCAAGTAAAATGGCTGAATCGAAATCGAAAAAAATTAATTTATTTGATTACGATCGCAAGTGATTGTAAAAGGGGCCCCCGCGTCGTTAATTAAAAAAAAATAGTCGATAATTTTTGAGGTTATGTGACGGCGTGACGTTCGGCGAAAAAGGGGGGCGAGACTCGGCGTAAAAACGAAGCGAGGGCGGCCGCTAAAGGTAAACGGCCAAAAAAAAGGATTTGATGTGTAAAAAAAATTAAAAGTTGAATGGGGTTACCTGCGAGCTGTTTCCTGAGCAGTAAAGCTGACTGTGGTTCTGACATAGATTACAATTTCAATTTTGAACTAAACTGACAAACAAACTGGTCTCGTCGGAAAATGGCCGGCCCAGTCCGCGATACGAACCCACTCGGCTGCATTAGGGACACTCTGCGAACATATGGTATTTCCGGGGACCGGCGACGAGATCGAACTTACCGACGCAACACCAACGACATCTATACGTCAAAATCGAAAAACAAATTCATTTTTATTAAAAATCGATTATTACAAAACATAATTTATTAAACGATTTATTAAAGCGTCAAAAATAAAAATTATTAATTAATTAATCATTAATTTAGAAAATTAAGCAACATTTAATTAAAATTTATTGAAATAATTTTAATTGCGACATCTATAGTTTAAAACAAAAACTATTCCTATTTTTTAACTTTTATTTATAACAAATTAATTAATTAATTTTTAATATACACCACTTAGTATATCATTTAATTTAAAGTTTATTAATAATTCTTTTAATTAATAGTGTAATTAAGCACTCATTTTAATTTTTTTCTTTTACAGACATAACCTCAATTTTTGTGTGTACTAAAATGTCAAAACATTAAGTTTTATATTTATTAATAATTTAATGAGACACAATGAGAAAATTTGATCTTATTAAATAACATCCACCAAATATAACTTAAATTATACCGAGCTAAGTTTAAACGATGTTGGAGTAAGCTAAAATAAAACGGAAAGAAAATGATTCAATTTGAGATGTTGCAAATATAATTACGAAGAATTAATAAGTAAATACAGATTAATTATTAAGACTTATTTTATTTTTAATTTAATTTTTTTAAGGTTGCCTTAAACATTTAGGTTGGTAATGATTTTTAAAAACAATTGCTTCAGTAAAAATCGTCGCCATAATAACGACGCATTAATAAAGTTTATTGCTAAGCGAGAATTTATCGTTTTTAATGGTAAAAAGCGAAGTTTAATTATTACAAGTTGTTTCATCTCATCGAACATGTAAGTTTTTTTAAATAATACGAAATCTTAATTAATTTTTTTTTAAATAATGCCTATACCTCAATGTTGAGCTTTCTTATCTCTTAAAGTAGTAATTTCAAGAAATAAATTAATTTTTGCGTTTATCTTAAATAATAAACATTTAAAATTATTTCTAGGTGATTTTTTTTTGTTTGTATTGTAGCTCCCTTAGTTGCTTAGCAACGGAAAGATAAATCGAAATCTAACCTAAAACGGAATAATAAATAAGGTAAATTATAAACTTTAATTACCAAAAGACCAAATTCAGGACAATTAAGTACAAATGCGGAGCTTAACACAAAGAATCAAGGAGAAACTAAATATTTTCGAGAGGAGGATAATGAACGATAAATAACCGAATGCAAGGAAAGAGGCTGATTGGAAGACCGAGGAGAAGATGCAAAGACATGGATGGGAGTGTGAAGACATGGATAATTTGGGTTCTAGTGCCATGAGAGGAGGAAGATTAAATATCAAAGCTCCAATTCTTGATCACAAACTTCAAGGATATATCTAACCTAAAAAAAATCAAACAAGGTAAGTTAAATAATTTAATTTTAATTAATAAAGTGTCGTTATTATTTCACCTTTTTGAGTTTGAATCAAATCTATATTATTATTATTTAATTATTGAAAAATTCCGAGTGTTCGCCATCTATTGATCATATTGGATATTAATATAAATTCGAACTTACCGACGTAACACCAGTGACATCTATACGCCGAAATCGCAAAACAAATTAATGTTTATTAAAAATCGATTATTACAAAACGTAATTTATTAAATCGTGGAAATAAAAATTATTAATTATTTAATCATTAATTTAGAAAATTAAATAATATTTAATTAAAATTTATTGAAGTAATTTTAATTGCGACATCTATTGTTTAATATAAGAACTATATGTTCTTTTTAATTTTTATTTATAACAAATTAATTAATTAATTTTTAATAAATATTATTTGATTTAAAGTTTATTCATAATTCTTTTAATTAATAATGTAATTAAAAAGTTTATTTTATTTTTCTTTTTAATACAAACATAACCTCAATTTTTGTGTGTACTAATATGTCAAAACGTAAAATTTTTTATTTAAAAACTTTAATTAAAATACATCGTTTATTAGGTAAGACGATGGTTAATAAATTTGCTATAAATAGTTATTTTATTATAATTTATGATTTTATTTTTAATTTAATTTTTTTAAAGTTGCCTTAAGCACTTAGGTTGGTAATGATTTTTAAAAACAATTGCTTCAGTAAAAATCGTCGCCATAATAACGACGCATTAATAAAGTTTATTGCTAAGCGAGAATTTATCGTTTTTAATGGTAAAAAGCGAAGTTTAATTATTACAAGTTGTTTCATCTCATCGAACATGTAAGTTTTTTTAAATAATACGAAATCTTAATTAATTTTTTTTTAAATAATGCCTATACCTCAATGTTGAGCTTTCTTATCTCTTAAAGTAGTAATTTCAAGAATTAGTGAGTAAATTTTTGCGTTTATGTTAATGTTTATGTTAAATAATAAACATTTAAAATTAATTATTTCGAGGTTATAAATAACGCTATTTTTTTTGTTTGTATTGTAGCTCCCTTAGTTGCTTAGCAACGGAAAGATAAATCGAAATCTAACCTAAAACGTAATAAGAAATAAGGTAAATTATAAACTTTAATTACCAAAAGACCAAATTCAGGACAATTAAGCACCCTAACACGAAGAATCAAGAAGAAACTAAATATTTTCGAGAGGAGAATAATGAAAAGAAGTTTGGGGCCCGTTTTGGGGCACAATCTTTGGAGGGCTAGGTACAACCACGAATTGTATCAGTATTTAAAGGAACCCCCACTGTCTGAAGACTCCAAAAAGAACGATAAATCTCCAAATGCAGAGAAAGAGGCTGATTGGAAGATCAAGGAAAAGATGCAAAGACATGAATGGGAGTGTGGAGACATGGATAATTTGGGTTCTAGTGCCATGGGAGGAGGAGGATTTATACATGCTCCAATTCTTGATCACCAACCTCAAGGATATATCTAAACTACAAAAAAAAACAAACAAGGTAAGTTATATAATTTAATTTTAGTTATTATTTCCCCTTTTTGAGTTTGAATCCAATCTATATTATTATTACTTAATTATTGAAAAAATTGCGATTGCAACTAAATTGCTTTATAGATGGCGCTATTAGTAAAAAGGAAACTATAACATGGAAAATTTTAAATAATTAATTCCTTACCTTGTATCAATATTGTTGTTTGGCTTTTAACATTGCATTCTATAAATATTAAATTTCGAGCCATTCTTCATTGTATGCAAAAATTTGGAAACTTTTGATATTAACTTGTTTGAAACTGTCATTATCATGCAGTATTAAAAGAAAATTTGTTAAGTTTATTACAGACCTACATAAATTAATTAATTTAAATGATAAGATTATTTAAATACGAGCATATTGAATCAATAATATTTAAATATAACAAAATTATCATCAAAAATCAGCACATTCATTATCAAATGCTAAAATAGTTGCATAAATTGTTTATAAATTCCATAAATTATTAATTTCATTGTTTCGCAATATGAATTTATTCATTCGGCGCATTAATATAAGAGGACCATTATTTTGCACTTTGTTTTTTAAATTCCTTTGAATCGATTAGTTCGAACATGAGTCCGATTAGCGAATTTTATAGCGGGAAAACGGTGTTTGTAACGGGGGCGACGGGTTTTATGGGAAAAGTTCTTTTGGAAAAATTGGTAAGATGTTTACCCGACATAAAAAAAATTTATATTTTGTTGCGCCCCAAAAAGGGGTGTACACCTGAAGAAAGAATGATGCAATTAGCGGAAAGCACGGTGGGTTCTTCAATAATAATAATTTAAAAAAATCATTTTTAATCGTTTTAAGGTATTTACTTTTAACAATATGAGTCAAAAAGCTTACGTTAAAATCGAAGTAATAAACGGAGATATAAGCAAAGACGATTTCGACATGACGAAAGAGGACAAAGAGAAATTGATTAACGAAGTTTCGATTGTATTTCATTTCGCGGCTTCGGTTCGCATGGATCTGTCGCTGAAAGAGGCGGTTATTGTAAATTGCAAATCAACTTATCAGTTGTACAAGTTATGCTTGAATATTAAAAATTTAAAAGTAAGTTTAAATTTAAATAATCGTTGTATTTAAATTGGATTTTTAGTCGGTTGTGCATTTATCCACCGCGTTTTGCAACGGTGATATTAAGAACATGGAGGAGAAGGTTTATCCTTTAAAAGTGGATCCTTATAAAATTATTGATATGGTTGAGTGGATGGATGAGAAATGTTTAACTGCGATGACTAAAACGTAAATATTTTATATTTTAACTCACGTTAGATCTTTTTTTTGTCGCTTTTTAGATTATTAGGTCCTCAACCGAACACTTATACGTTCTCTAAAAGACTTGCTGAAATGATAGCGGTTGATATGGGTGATAAATTGCCTTTAACAATAGTGAGGCCTTCTATAGGTGAGAATAAAATGCAGTAAAAACTCGATATAACGGATTAATTTTTGCTGATACATCCCCAAGAGCTTGAAGACCAGTTCGTGACGTCACGCAACTACTATTTCAAATTTTGAATTAACAAATGCTTAATTTATTCTATTCGTATTTTGTAATGTTGTTAGTTTGAGGCTTAGGGTTCATAATATTAAATAAAAATCTTGATCGAGTTAAACCCGAAATTTTCTAGTTCAAGGTTTAGGTTTAGTTCTAGTTTTAACACTAGACCATTTAAGAAACATTCAGGTTTAGCCGTGCATCTACTAAAACGAGTAAAACCTCTAAGGTTTTAAAACGGTCTAGTGTATTGCAAGCAGACCTAGCCTTCTACAAACAATATCTGTCTTCTGCAAGAACCTTTAATTCACTGCCAACCATATTTAGTCTTTTGCAAGCAATTTCTATTATATTGGAACCAGTATCTAGCCTTCAATACACAGTATTTGTCTTTAGCAAGCAGTTTCTAGTGGATTGCAAGCAGTACTAGCCTTCCGCAAGTAGTATCTGTCTTCTGTTCAACCATATTTAGTCTTCTGCAAACAATTTCTTGTATATTGTCTTCTGTCAATAGTATTTTGTAGTTTCAAATGTATTGCAAGCAGTATTTAGTCTTCCACAAGCAGTATATGTCTTTTGCAAGTAGCTATAATTCCCTGCCAACCATATTTAATCTTCAACAAACAATTTTTAGTGTATTGGAAGCAATATTTAGCCTTCAACACACAGTATTTGTCCTCAGCAAGCAATTTTAGTCTTCTGTCAACAGTATTTTGTCATCTGCAAGCAGTTTTTGATGTATTACAAGCAGTATTTAATCTTCTACAAGCAGTATCTGTCCTTTGCAAGTAGCTATAATTCCCTGCCAACCTTATTTAATCTTTTACAAGCAATTTCTAGTATATTGGAAGCAATATTTAGCCTTCAAGACACAATATCTATCTTCAGCAAGCAATTTTAGTCTTTTGAAAACAGTATTTTGTTTTCTGCAAGCAATTTCTAGTATATTACAAGCAGTATTTAGTTTTCCACAAGCAGTATTTGTCTTTTGCATGTAGCTATAATTCCCTGTCAAGCATATTTAATCTTCTGCAAGCTATTTCTAGAATGTTTGAAGCAGTATCTAGCCTTTAATACACAGTATTTGTCTTCAGCAAGCAGTTTCTAGTGTATTGCAAGCAGTATCTGTCTTCTGCTAGTAGTTTTTGTTCCCTGCTAACCATATTTAGTCTTCTGCAAGCAACTTTTAGTATATTGGCAGCAATATCTACTCTTCAATACACAGTATCTGTTTTCAGGAAGCAGTTTTAGTTTTTGTCAACAGGATTTAGTCATTTGCAAGCAATTTCTTGTATATTGGAAGCAATATCTAGCCTTCAATACACAGTATTTGTCTTCAGCAAGTAGTTTTAGTCATTTACCAACAATATTTAGTTTTCTGCAAGCAGTTTCTAGTATATTGGCAGCAATATCTACTCTTCAATACACAGTATCTGTTTTCAGTAAGCAATTTTAGTCTTCTGTCAACAGTATTTTGTCATCTGCAAGCAGTTTTTGATGTATTACAAGCAGTATTTAATCTTCTACAAGCAGTATCTGTCCTTTGCAAGTAGCTATAATTCCCTGCCAACCTTATTTAATCTTTTACAAGCAATTTCTAGTATATTGGAAGCAATATTTAGCCTTCAAGACACAATATCTATCTTCAGCAAGCAATTTTAGTCTTTTGAAAACAGTATTTTGTTTTCTGCAAGCAATTTCTAGTATATTACAAGCAGTATTTAGTCTTCCACAAGCAGTATTTGTCTTTTGCAGGTAGCTATAATTCTCTGCCAACCATATTTAGTCTTCAGCAAGCAGTTTCTAGTGTATTGCAAGCAGTATCTGTCCTCTGCTAGTAGTTTTTGTTCCCTGCTAACCATATTTAGTCTTCTGCGAGCAATTTTTAGTATATTGGCAGCAATATCTACTCTTCAATACACAGTATCTGTTTTCAGTAAGCAATTTTAGTCTTTTGTCAACAGTATTTAGTCTTCTGCAAGCAATTTCTAGTATATTGGAAGCAGTATCTAGTCTTTAATACACAGTATTTGTCTTCAGCAAGCAGTTTTAGTCTTCTACCAACAGTATTNTATCTATCTTCAGCAAGCAATTTTAGTCGTTTGAAAACAGTATTTTGTCTTCTGCAAGCAATTTCTAGTATATTACAAGCAGTATTTAGTCTTCCACAAGCAGTATTTGTCTTTTGCAGGTAGCTATAATTCTCTGCCAACCATATTTAGTCTTCTGCAAGCAATTTCTAGAATGTTTGAAGCAGTATCTAGCCTTTAATACACAGTATTTGTCTTCAGCAAGCAGTTTGTAGTGTATTGCAAGCAGTATCTGTCTTCTGCTAGTAGTTTTTGTTTCCTGCTAACCATATTTAGTCTTCTGCAAGCAATTTCTAGTATATTGGAAGCAATATCTAGTCTTTAATACACGGTATTTGTCTTCAGCAAGCAGTTTTAGTCTTCTACCAACAGTATTTAGATTTCTGTAAGCAGTTTCTAGTGGATTGCAAGTACCTTTAGTTCTCTGCCAACCATATTTACTTACTCTATTTAAATTATAGCTCCTCCCACAAATTCGCGCAAAATTTGAATAGTATTTTTCTATTGGTAAGCCCGGTTTACAAAGGTCAATTAAAAACAGCTCTCTTTCTTTATCGTTTACGTTTATTTTCTTCTTTGCATGTATGTATTTTTTTTGTGCGTGAAACTGGCTATTGTGTAATAGTGGGGGAAATAGGCGTAGCTTCGCTCAGGTAACTGCATCTGTTCGATCAACAGAATATAGGCTTCTACAAGCAATTTTTATTATATTGACACCAATATCTATTTCTCAATACACAGTATCCGTTTTCAGCAAGCTGTTTTAGTCTTTTGTCAACAGTATTTAGTGTTCTGCAAGCAATTTCTTATATATTGCAAGCAGTATCTAGGTTTCAATACACAATATCTCTTCAGCAAGCGGTATCTGTTTTCTGCAAGTAGCTTTAGTTCCCTGCCAACCATATTTAGTCTTCTGTAAACAATTTCTAGTATATTGGAAGCTGTATCTAGCTTTTAATACACAGTATTTGTCTTCAGCAAGCAGATTCTAGTGTATTGCAAGCAGTATCTAGCCTTCCGCAAGCAGTATCCATCTTCTGCAAGTAACTTTAGTTCCCTGGCAACCTTATTTAGTCTTCTGCAAACAATTTTTAGTATATTGGCAGCAATATCTAGTCTTCAATACACAGTATCTGTTTTCAGGAAGCAATTTTAGTCTTTTGCCAACATTATTTAGTCTTCTGTAAGCAATTTCTTCTATATTGGAAGCAGTATCTAGCCTTCAATATACAATATCTGTCTTCAGTAAGCAGTTTTAGTCTTCTGCAAGCAGTTTCTAGTGGATTCCAAGCAGTATCTAGCCTTCCGCAAGCAGTATCTATGTCCTCCAAGGAACTTTAGTTTCCTGGCAACCTTATTTAGTCTTCTGCAAGCAATTTTTAGTATATTGGCAGCAATATCTAGTTTTCAGCAATCAGTTTTAGTCTTTTGTCAACAGTATTTAGTCCTCTGCGTGCAATTTCTTGTATATTGGAAGCAGTATCTAGCCTTTAATACACAGCATTTATTATCAGCAAACAGTTTTAGTCTTCTACCAACAATATTTAGTTTTCTGCAAGTAGTATCTAGCCTTCCGTAAGCAGTATCTGTCTTCTGCAAGTAGCTTTAATTCCCTGGCCACCAAGTTTAGTCTTCCGCAAGTAATTTTTAGTATATTACCAGCAATATCTAGTCTTCAATACACAGTATCTGTTCTCAGCAAGCAGTTTTAGTTTATCAAAGTTTGAGATGTTGAATTTAAATCGCGAACGCCTTCTAACAGCAACAAATCATGCGTTGAATGAGATTTTTGAAAACGATTAATCTCAGCAACTTTTAACGAGCGATAAGGAGCGGAATTCAAACAATCCCAAATCTTATTAGTCATTGTTAATTATTCTATTGGATCACTTCTGCCCGAGGCGAGCAAGGCAAAAGAGGTCGTGCTTCCTCTTCCAAAGTTATAACAGTCAGTTTGACTTACAACTTAAATCCACCGACAGTGTTTATGATACCTCCTTTAATACACAGTATTTG